AATTAAATTATAAATTACGCCAAGAATTACCATGTATGTCAATATTTTTTGTGCATTTAGGCCAATTTGAGCAATCTCCTTTCTTGTTAAGCAGACGTTATGTGGTTGTTTGTCAAAATCGAAAAGAAAATTAGAATCTGGGGTAATAATCGCAGTTACGCTATTTTTTGTCCAAAACCTGTATAATTTCTATGTTGATGTAGGTAAGTCCAAAAAGGGGTCAATATTGTCCCCTGTTCCATATATCCCTACTGACATATCTCCACTAGTAGGGATACTTGGAGTTATTTTTCCACTTATTGCTACCGGTTGGGATATATGGAACTTTCTATTCCATATACCTATCCCTACCTACTGATCCGCCGATTTGGTTTTTATTTTCCATTTATCGCTACAAGTGGGGATAAGTTTTCAAAGGTTTCTTATTATGATGCAAGGTGTTCCTGCTTGTGACCGTAAAACTTTTTATAATAGTTTTTTTTTTAATTTATCTATCTATTAAATATCTATTTTCCTTTCTATATTTTTATAAATAAAAGTTTTTTCCCCCATTTTCATTATCAGATCCTCTTTATCATGTATGTATCCTGGTACTTTTTAGAGAATAATGATTTCATGAATGGTTATCTTCTATCTACACTAAGATGTTTATATGACTTTAATGTAAGCTTATTAAGGGGATGTGCGAGTACTCAATACACAATTTTATAAGTAAGGAGGATCAAATCGTTTTTGATGGAAATCCAAGCTAAGTTCAGACCAGTCTTTCCCAGTGGGCACATTGGGCAAGTGTCTAGGGCCCCGCGATCGATAGGGCTCTCTCAGATCAAATACAAAATTCCTAGTTCCTATTAAATCACCAAAGGGAAGTCCTAGGGGCCCCATTATCCTATGCCCAGGGCCTCCAATAGGTAAAAGACGGCACTGGCTAAGTTTGATTCTGATAGCAACAAAAGACAACACGTACATTAACTGACATTAAATTTTATTGACTTTCGTGAGTTTGGCCGTAAGATAGATCATCCATCATGCATTACTCCATTAGTGAAGTATCAATCACACACCCACTCTGCGTAAGCTGTTACGTGAAGCGCGGTGAATGTGTTTCATACTTTCGTCACAAGGAGCATCGGCCCATTAGCTCAGTTGGTTAGAGCGTCGTGCTAATAACGCGAAGGTCGCGGGTTCGATCCCCTCATGGGCCACACTTGCTTTTTGAGTTTTTTGTATAATATCAATTTATTTTTCATGATTATTAAAATCCGCTCACAAAACCTCAGTATTTTATATAAAATATGTAATTCATGTATTAAATTTACAATGCGGCCTACGCAGCACCAGTGGGTTAAATAGCAATGATGACAAGGCAAATTAAAAGAAACTAGCAAACCAGTGAATCAAATGTTCATCAAAACCTGATTTAAAAAAAATGTATTTAATTGAGAACTTCGGAGATTTTGTGGTTTCGTTTGAAATTCGTGATTTCTCGAAAACCTACGTTACTCAAATCCGGTTTGTAGTCTTATCAGACTATTCTTAACTTATAACTTAAATATTTTCTTTATCTATCTCTTACGGTTTGGCCGCTAAAACAGCACCACAGACAGACGGACGGACGGACTTGTCTAATAGATAAGAGATTCTATTAAGTCCGTTAGTTAGATTATCAATTTATAATGGACATTTATTTTTTCTTTTGTCAATCAACTCAAAATCAAAGATAAAGATAAAGCACGTCAGTTTGGAATTAGAGTCGGGACTGGAAGCTTGTGATTGTGACGTCACTACATATTAAAAAGCGGCCAAGTGCGAGTCGGACTTGCCCATGAAGGGTTCCGTAGCAGCAAGAACATAATATAAAAGTTCTTTTTAGGGTTAGATTATAATTAGTTTACCTATGTTTATGAAATTAAATGTTTTTTTTATTTGAGTAGCTAGAATGAAACGAAAATTACGGTTTACGATTTATGACGTATTAAAAAAACTATTTACTAGATCTCTTTCAAACCAAGTTTCGATGGAAGTTTGCATGGTAATGTGCATCATATATTTTTTTTTAGTTTCATCATTCTCTTATTTTAGAAGTTACAGGGGGAGTGGCACATTTTACCACTTCTGAAGTGTCTCTCGCGCAAACTATTCAGTTTAGAAAAAAATGATATTAGAAACCTCAATATCATTTTTGAAGACCTATCTATAGAGAGCACACACGTATAGGTTTGATCAAAAAAAATTTTGAATTTCAATTCTAAGTAGGTATGGGAACCCCCAAAAATTATTGTTTATTTCTATTTTTATGTGAAAATCTTAATGCGGTTCGCAAAATACATCTACTTACCAAGTTTCAACAGTATAGTTCGTATAGTTTCGGAAAAAAGTGGCTGTGACATACGGACGGACAGACAGACATGACGAATCCATAATGGTTCCGTTTTTTACCATTTGGCTACGGAACCTAAAAAATTGTAGCAAGACGTGACGTCATGCGACATTTCAAACAATATTTCTATGTAATGTTTTAATTATGTGAATAAAGAAAAAATACGTGTCCAATCCTTTTTTAAACCTGCCTGGAGATAGTGAAAAAGAGTTGTTATCGTACCTATTGTCAATGCATCGATTCGCAATAGCTGTATGGAAGGATAGATTTCAATAGGGGAAAGGAGACTAAACTGTCGGGATCGACTATTGTTGAGACAAAGCCACAGAACCCAACATATTCAACAGTACAGGTACCTACATTTATTTTCATACTAACAACCAGATTTTCCAAATTGTTATGGTACAAATACACGACCTATACTCTATTAGCAACCACTTAGCGACACTCCGCCGAGCGTGCCCTAACTACATACTCACGGATTCATGATCCGCAACCGGTAATAACCAGTTTTGAACCGACCTCTCAAATAATATACGGCGACGCACGCCAACTAGACGACGTGACCATCCGTACGTAACCATAGGCATTCTAATATTACACCTTTCGACCTTCATCTGTAAGACCAATTCGCCAAAGCAACTTTGTGTAAGGCTCTATAACGCAGAAATTAAACTTTATCTCAAGTCGCATAAAGGCGTAAGTCGTTCCAGTATCACTTCACAGGTGTAAGTAAACAAACATTGGAAGCAACAAAGGTAAGAATACAATTTTTGCTAGACCTTCGGCTTGTAAGAATGAATTTGTACACCATGGGTCTTACTAAATCGGCAACTTGACAACCTTGTTTATTAATAGAAGTTGTGTCTAGTTAAATCCAGATTTTGTTTGCAAAAGTCGGAAACGTGAATATCATTACCATTAATATTCATATTTTGCCTTGACTTTGATATTACTAATTTATGCAAGTTACAAATTTTCAAAACAAACAAACTTACGTCTTTTTATAAATATTTCATAGTTTACAAACTAACAGTAAAGTATTTCTCTATGCATTGTTTAAATCTCTTAGTTACAAGTAAAGAACTTATTGAGTACCTATCTGTGATTGGCCAGTCCTTGATAAACTTTTTTTAAGTGATAAAAGCTTTGTTAAAATGAAATAGTTATGCACAGTCAGCCACATATCAAGTTACCACAAGATGATGAATTTTCTCAATCGATTATGAATCGTAAATTTTGCAACATAAAGCTCAAATTTGTTACAGAAATTCGAGCGTTTTAGGATGACTTGACCTGCATCTATCTGTATCTTCCGAATTTGTTAATTTATTATTTAAATAAGGTCCATGACTAAGGAGGCCTATACTTACAGATAAGCCGAATAAAACTCAACAATATAAGTATATTTATACATTTTATTGCAGTAATAGTTTTACAATAAACATTATTTAACAATTATTAACATAATATCATACAACTAATTACATGATTTAATATACAACTATCGTAATATGCAGAGGCACTTGTAAAGCAAATTTTTATATAACAAAAATACGCACGAAAACAATCTTATTGCAGTTTATAAGGTAAAACATTCCCGCGCCGGTTTATTATATAAAATTGTATGAAACCATTTATACAATAAAAGCATAAATCAATCAATTTCATACTAGACTAGTAGTTCTTAATAATTATGTTCAAGAAATGTGTAAAAGTTTTAGAATAAATATACATTTAAGGTAGGTATGTATGTCTTGTATCCATTATTATCACTTTAGAAAATAATCAATTTTATGCGACAATGTTTTTAAATTAACGACAGATGGACAGACACTAATGTACAAAGGTCGGCAAAGTAGCTGCATCTAATTAAATTTTAAAAAGGCAATCTTTACATAAATAAGTTTTTATACTTCTATCATATATATTATAGTACATGTTTTTTGAATTTTACATCTTTTTAAAGACATTACTACCGTCGGTAGATGTTGATATTTTTACAATTTAGAGTTAATTTTTAGTTCATTTAAAAATTATGCTCAATTTTTTTAAGTTCCATAAACTTAGCTGGACTAGTACTTTATTATGCTGATTATTCAACTCACAGATTATATTATTGCGCTAAAATCTTTGTTTGGTACCCATTTGGGTGTAACATCAATAAATAAACAAATGAATCAGTTTAGATTGTCTGTGAAAACTAGTATAGTCTGACTATATCTCCATAAAAGTATTTTCATTTAATATTTTATGCTGTTTCAATTTTCATATTATTGTTCGTTCTCTTCGACTGAGGCACAATAGTTTCTACTAAAATTGCTAACGCGAAATGTATTCAGAGAAACAAAATTGATCATAGCTAAGCCAAACTACCCAATCTCGCGCTGTCGATTCTGTAATGCTAGTACTTCATTGGTTATTTCTTTTTGCTATTATTTAAATTTGAGAGCAGTATATTCCTATCACGCTTATATAGGGAATGAAAAGGAGAGACTGCTGTGAAATTTACAAATAACAAATACGATTAGCCAGTATAACATACAAACTCACTGGTGTCGATTCTGGCAGGATTCTCTAAACTTAATACTAAATTTAACATTAGTCTATCCTTTTCATTCTGTATAGAAAATGACAAGGATACACTGTATTCAAATTTAAGTTTAGCTTTAGAGAATCATGCCAGAATCGACACCACTGTCGGTCTCGATTATTCTTATCTCAAAACAAAAACTAAAGCATGAAAAGAGTGTAAATTAAACACCTAAAGTCGACTCATAAGTCAACTGTTGTGATTGTTGTCATCTTATTTTTACATATAGACCAAAAAGGGACAAATAAGTACATGTTGTGAACAGCGAGCGTACCAAATAACAAAACGTCAAATTGCATACCTTTTATGCTTTGTGGACACCTTGGTTACCTTTATGATACCGAATCATAAATCTATCTAATGTCAACAAGCCACTAATACTAAAGAAAATATTACTAAAACAATCCACGCGGATCAGGCAGCAGACGGGACTCGAACCCGCACCCTTCGCTATCGGAGCAAATGCACTGATCATTATGGTAAAAATAGGGCCGCGGTAGCATAATGGTCAGTGCATTCGCCCGGATAGCCAGTGCCGTCTTTGACCTATTGAGGGCCCTGGGCATATTAGGATAATGGGGCCCCTATGACTTCCGTTTGGTGATTTGACAGGAACTAGGGACTTTGTATTTGATCTGAGGGGGCCCCTATCGATCGCGGGCCCTGGGCACTTGCCCAAAGTGCCCACTGGGAAACAGGGGTCTGCGGATAGCGAAGTTCGAGTCCCGTCTGCTGCCTGGTCCGCGTGGAACTTTTTCTAGTAATATTTTCTTCAGATTTAATCATCGAGCAGTTACATGCTTAAAAAATTAAAATTATAAACCTAATTGTTTTTGGTTGAGTAATTTGTCGGTAATACTCAGTTTGGAAATCTTTTCGTTAATTTATTGTCTATAGGAGTGTAAGCCCATTACTTCTATGCTTTAATTCTTGTTCTGAGATTCTTACATTTGTCATGTCATACAACCTAATTCAGCGTTCATCACGCTGCGTGATTAACAGTACCCTTAGCACGAACCAATACCGAATTCGTATCGAATACGAGTACGAAATGTCATTGTCAAATATGTACTGTTTTTAAGCTCTAGTTACGTACTTTGTGGCGCTGCTGTTCAAGTTTGCATACAAAATTTGACATTGCCATTTCGTTTTGCAAACTATTCGAATTCGATAATGGTTCGTGCTAGGGGTACTGGTGGCGTTGAAAGTTATACACGTTCTGTACCCCTAGCACGAACCAATATCGAATTTTGTCAATGTCAAATTTTGTATGGAAACTTGAACAGCAGCGGCACAAAGTACGTAACGAGAACTAAAAATCAGTACATATTTGACAATGACATTTCGGACTCGCAAACGATACGAATTCGATATTGGTTCGTGCTAGGGGTACTGGAGTAGAAGAAATGAAAAGATGTAACGCCATCTAGTGTAGGATTGATTAATAGATAGATATATTGAAATAAAACTTATTGACCGGTCTTACACACTAAACACACAAACTATTGCATATTCTTTTATCAAAAAATATTTATTTTCTTATATGCACAATGTAAGCTCGTCGGGAAATTGTCCAGCTGATATTTTTATCAACTAATTATTCATTTTCCTATTCCATTAGCCTCCGTAAATATAGTTTGATAGTTATTAATGCAACTGTTGTATAATGAGGGGTATTAAAACACTCATTTGATAATAGTATAACTTGAGTATTAAAACACTCATGTGATAATAGTATCACATGAGTGTTTTAATACCTTTTATAACAGTTATAACAGTTGCATACAAGTCTTTACACCCATTATATAAATTATATAATTATTAAAAGATATAGAAATGAGAATGAAAAGAGAGAAATCATGAGGTGTTCTAAGAACTTAAAATTCATGGAAAGATTCGGCGCTGTTCTCTATTTTATTTTATTCATAATACCACGCATCCATCAGTGAAAATTGTGGCTATTTGATGAGCAAACCCTTAGCGCGAAAGGGATTTTAAAAATTAAAAGGGTGTTATTAAATTATATCAAAAAAAATATAACACCCAAACATGTCATTTAATGTTTTTTTTAATTGCGACATTGGATATTTTAATGTTAGTCATAAGCCAACTGTTTCAAAATCTTTAACAGCGGTTTTAAAGCATGGGCGTAGATAAAAAATATTTTATTCTTAATAGATTCTTAGGTTTTCACGCACACCACTCATTAAGTAAAACAAGTTTCAACGGTATAGATGAACTGATTTATTTATTTATGACGTTTTGCATCCTTTTCGGGCTGCGTCTTTGCAAGTCATCATTCTGACGACGCATTTTGTTTATCCTATCTTTAAAACCGCATATTCTTACCACGTTACTAATAAATGAAGATTATGATTTGGACGAGTCTTGCCGAATATTGCTCACACCAATCAAAACAAAGGACATTTTTTATTTAATAAAAAGACAGAGATTCCTTATTCTTGTGGTTGATTTACCCTCTTCATCATATTACTGAACCACGTAGCCGTTGAGAAAAAAGATAGGTACATCATAATTTACGTTAAATTTGTGACATATTAAGTGTAATCAATTTTTTGATTTTTAAAATGTAGATAGACCATGGGTTAACTCACTGAACTTCAACAGACTTTACATAAATATGTCATTTCTTCACATATTCTTTGCCTCCAGTACTTCAGGGGGGATGCTATCTACCTTTCTTACAATATTTTTGATTGAAATGTATTACATAACTACGACAGACAGTTCAAAAATATTTGTTAACTGTGTGTCTCTGTTATCTATGGCGGACGAAATATTGATAAGTCGGCTAGTTGTCTAGCCAGCTGTGCATGGAGACATTTCCAAAATATTCTCGACTCTGTTATCTATGGTAATGTATTGACAAGCCGGTCAATTGTCTATGACCAGCCACCGATGCTTAGTGTGTTCTACCTGTTGCTGCAGTAATGGTGTCCGCACACGTAGTTTCACTTCCAGAGACCCGCCTGCTGGCCTTCGTCCGTCCATTAGCTAGAAAATAAATTAATAATTACTACACTCGTAATTGGATAGTTATTTATGATATCAGTGCGGTAAACTGTTTTAAACTTTCATGGTCACTAACATTATAGCTATTAGAGTCTGTGCGGAAAGAGAATGGGCGTGGCGAAAAAGGGAATTAACATTAAGATTTTTATTTGGCATTCAAACCCAGCAGTCCGTAAAACGTCAAAGTTTTGTATTGATACGGATTTGTTTGTTGTTGTGATTTCTTGCGGTTTTTTGTATTCAATCATGTCTAAAAGGGGTAAATCCTTACAAATACGGTAGAACAGCATTACAGCGCCCTCCAATCTAAATCCCATTCTCTTTCCGCACAGATTGTAACGGGATTATTCGGCACTGTTGCAAGCGCCTCGCAGCGAGTAGTTACTCCGTGATCATGGCGCTTGCAACAGTGCCGAAAAATCGGAGACTCATAAAAAACAAGGAACATGGTAACAATCCCGTTAATAGCTATAATGTTAGTGCGGTAAGTTAGTTATTACTAACCAGTAGAAGAATGTCGTCACGAGTTTGTAAATACTGATTCCGCACTAATGTCATAATATAACGTTTTTCGACACATTTGCAAGAAAACAGTACCTATACCTAACTGAAGTGATGAAGCAAACTTTTTTTAATAACCAAATGGCGCCACGTGCGGGTGGTTTAAATTAGAACTAAATCTTTCGTCGCCTTTTCTTTTTAGTATTAAAGAAACTAAGGTAGGTATAGATTAAAAGCGCTTATAAGGAGATTTGACGGAAATTAACAAGGGAGCGTGCGGTAAAATGATTTACCGCACGCTTCGTTGTATGGCCCGTAATTTTGTACTTTCGAACAAAAGAGCAGTATCTAAGTAAATTAATTTTTTGTGCCTCCTACGTGCTTTGGAAGGCACGTTAAGCCGTTGGTCCCGGCTGCATCTGCTGTCATTAGCACCCACCAATCCGTACTGGGCCCGCGTGGTGGATTATGGCCCACTGGATGCGGTAAGCGCATGAACGTTGTGTATGCAAATCCCTAGAGGAGGCCTCTATATCCAGCAGTCGACGACCATCGATTGACGATGATGATGATACTCACAGGGAATGCATGGTGTAAAGTAACTTGCGTCTCCAACGGTACTAGTTTGACCGCGCACGCAATAGAATCGCTACGGAACCAAGGAACGTATACTCCTATACCTAGGAACGTATACTCACAGGGAACGCATCGTGCAAAGTGACTTACGTCTCCAACGGCACTATAGTCTGTCCATTCTATTATTATCTTTTTGATAAATCGACGCCCATGAAATTTTGTATTGTTTACGTTAAAATGTTATACAAATAATATTGTACTTCATGGACGGGTACCGCCCATTTTGTGATGTGCCACGCATAATGATGACTAAGATTGTGCCACAGATTACAAATAATCGGTAGAAATGAATGAGTACAACCAAATTAAATAAAATAAAACTAGTTTTTACGGGTTAATGCACGAAACTTTATTTATTTATTGACGTTTCGCAGCCTTTTCAGGTCTGCATCGTCAGAATAATGATTTTTTATCATAAAAAAAATTTATCATAAAAAAATCATTATTCTGACGATGCAGACCTGAAAAGGCTGCGAAACGTCAATAAATAAATAAAGTTTCGTGCATTAACCCGTAAAAACTAGTTTTATTTAATGAGTGATGTGCGTGAAAACCTAAGAAACAAATATACAACCAAATTGTAAGGAAAAAAGTCAAAGATATAGTTTTTTATAGACCTTTTTTTAAATGAAATTATTAATTATAATCAATAAATAGTATTAGCATGAGGATAAACAAACATATAAAAAGTATACTGCTTTTTTGTTGTTTATATATACATAAGATAAATCACACCCAGACACTGAACAAATACTCGTGCTCATCACACAAATATTTGTAGTAGGTAAATTAATAAATGTAATGAGATTTTGTAATAATTTATTAAACAGCAGTATTTTTGATAACTAAAATAATTTCGATACTTATACAAGGTTCTATCATAAAATCGATTATAGCTTTAATTCGAACGAGTTATGTGATAGGGTGTCGCTATTTTAACTTCGATCGATCTGCTAAAAAGATAATAATAGAATGGACAGACTATAGTTAGACCGCGCACGGGCCCAGCATAGAATCGCTACGGAACCATTTCCTATACCTAGGAACGTATGAGGAACTGGATGGCGCAGGTGGTGAGCGCGTTCGGCTGCGATCGTTGAAGTTAAGCAAATTTTGCAGTGGTCGGTCATAGGATGGGCGACCAAAAATCTTCTATTTCGAGTTCATCTGTGCTTCGGAAGGTACGCTAATTCGTTGGTCCCGGCTGCATATGCAGTCGTTAGCACCCGCCAATCCGCACTGGGCCCACGTGGTGGGTCATGGACCAATCTCCCTATTCCATCCATAGGGAAGGTCTGTGCCCCAGCTGTACATTGATAGGCTGATGATGATGAGGAACCATTTCCTATACCTAGGCACTTATACTCACAGGGAACGCCTCATGCAAAGTGACTTGCGTCTCCAAAGGCGCTAGTTTGACCGCGCACGCGCCCAGTAACGAGTCGCTACGGAACCATTTGCTAAACCTAGGTACTTATACTCACAGGGATCGCCTCATGCAAAGTGACTTGCGTCTCCAACGGCGCTAGTTTGACCGCGCACGCGCCCAGTAACGAGTCGCTACGGAATCATTTCCTATACCTAGGCACTTATACTCACAGGGAACGCTTCGTGTAAAGTGACTTGCGTCTCCAACGGCGCTAGTTTGACCGCGCACGCGCCCAGTAACGAGTCGCTACGGAACCATTTCCTATACCTAGGCACTTATACTCACAGGGAACGCCTCGTGCAAAGTGACTTGTGTCTCCAAAGGCGCTAGTTTGACCGCGCACGCGCCCAGTAACGAGTCGCTACGGAATCATTTCCTATACCTCGGCACTTATACTCACAGGGAACGCCTCATGCAAAGTGACTTGCGTCTCCAACGGCGCTAGTTTGACCGCGCACGCGCCCAGTAACGAGTCGCTACGGAACCATTTCCTATACCTAGGCACTTATACTCACAGGGAACGCCTCGTGTAAAGTGACTTGCGTCTCCAACGGCGCTAGTTTAACCGCGCACGCGCCCAGTAACGAGTCGCTACGGAACCATTTCCTATACCTAGACACTTATACTCACAGGGAACGCCTCATGCAAAGTGACTTGCGTCTCCAATGGCGCTAGTTTAACCTCGCACGCGCCCAGTAACGAGTCGCTACGGAACCATTTCCTATACCTAAGCACTTATACTCACAGAGAACGCCTCATGCAAAGTGACTTGCGTCTCCAACGGCGCTAGTTTGACCGCGCACGTGCCCAGTAACGAGTCGCTACGGAACCATTTCCTTTACCTAGGCACTTATACTCAAAGGGAACGCCTCATGCAAAGTGACTTGCGTCTCCAACGGCGCTAGTTTGACCGCGCACGCGCCCAGTAACGAGTCGCTACGGAACCATTTCCTATACCTAGGCACTTATACTCACAGGGAACGCCTCGTGCAAAGTGACTTGTGTCTCCAAAGGCGCTAGTTTGACCGCGCACGCGCCCAGTAACGAGTCGCTACGAAATCATTTCCTATACCTCGGCACTTATACTCACAGGGAACGCCTCGTGTAAAGTGACTTGCGTCTCCAACGGCGCTAGTTTGACCGCGCACGCGCCCAGTAACGAGTCGCTACGGAATCATTTCCTATACCTCGGCACTTATACTCACAGGGAACGCCTCGTGTAAAGTGACTTGCGTCTCCAACGGCGCTAGTTTGACCGCGCACGCGCCCAGTAACGAGTCGCTACGGAATCATTTCCTATACCTCGGCACTTATACTCACAGGGAACGCCTCGTGTAAAGTGACTTGCGTCTCCAACGGCGCTAGTTTGACCGCGCACGCGCCCAGTAACGAGTCGCTACGGAACCACCCGCTGCAACACAACAGCGCGTCACACACGCACGAACCTCCACACCTACTGTCCCACGGATACACAACACACGCCCTTAGCAATACACTCTCTATGTTTACGTTGTTATCGCACGATCCAAGCATGCACAAACTATCAATATCTAAAGAGAAGTTTCGTCAACACTATCATTATCCAAAGGGAATTTAAGACAACTATCTTGTGCAAATTTTACTAGACACAATTTTAATTATCTCTCAACGGTAACGGTAACAAATAAAGGAACCGCTCATAAATTATGTTAAAGTACAAGTAGCGGCAAACTTCTTGACAAAAACCACAGACAAATAAAATTGCGCAGTAGGCGTTTTTGTATGTATAATTGCTACTGCGCAGGCTTCCTTGGAGGAGCCATAATACCAAGCGGGCAAGTCTAGTAAAATTTTCATAAGATACAAGAATCTACCAGTTTAGTGCTTAAAGTGGAAAAAAAGAAAAAAAACATTGTTTTTAATCACAACTCTAACCATAAGAAAAGCATTAAACACAAAAACAAAGCACTTTCAAACGTTTACATTCGTATATTTTGAATAGTATTACTACTACTATTACTATTATACTATGTACTGTAAGACTGATTTATACAGTGGCTAATTGACTCGCTATCTATATTATATCACATAGCGCATATTAGAAGGGAAAATCCCAAAATATACTCATTGTATTCAGCAGCAAACCAATAGGGTATTTGACAAGTTTTAGAAAACGATATCACGTTATTCAATAACGTTTATGGAGTCCATAAAAAATGGATATTCAGCATTATATTGTGTATTTTGGTAAAAAAACTAATTCAAAACTCTATTTTCATGTTGCCGCGGAAAACGTATCTCTGAACAATATGGTGGTTCACTGGTGTGTGACGTCACACGACTATTATTAAAACGTCAAACGATACAATGTAATGTCACTTTAACCGGAGGTTTACTTGCGTGTGACGTTATTTTAGGCTCTGCCAATCCCAAGCATTTTGGGTCACATGACAATAGACTATTATCTTTTTCGTGGGTTTTTAGTAAAATTATGAATATTTTTTTGTAAAATAGTAAAAACTCCTTCTAATATTCATTCTAAACAGAGATGCTAACAATTGACACTTTATTTTTAATATTATCAAATACTCTATTATTGAGCAAAACACAGACAAGTAAAATTTCGCAGTAGACTGTTTTTTTACGCAAAATTGCTACTGCGCAGGCTTCCTTGTCTATGGTTGTTGCTCAAGAAGTTTGCTGGGGTGTATAAATTTTCTGAAAATGGCCGGAGAAAAAGTTTCTGAAACCACTAATAAAAACGCACCCAAATCGAAAGAAGTTCATTCGCTAAAACTTAGCCAAACCATAATAAAAATTGTCGAACTGACAATTTGTAAATTTCATTTTAAATGTCATTAATATTTATTCAATTATACCATTTATTTAATCAAACTGGAAAATAAATAGACTGGCTGTAAGTATACATCATCTGTAAAAATAATAATTTGTCATCGCAATAGTCTAAACATGCAAAAAGATTACTATTAGTAGCTTATCTATCTAACAAAAGTTAATGACCTCATATTTCATTTGTAGGTATTTATGGCGCGTGTTACTAAGTGCTCTAAATAAAGATATTTGTTATCTCGCAGTAACAAATTTCGGCATACAGATTTTTTAAATGATACTTTTTCTGGACTCCAAACTTAAGAAGTTCGTTGCATTATAGGGTATAATCCCACGGCCCATTCCCCCTATCACTTCCATAAAAGGCCTGTGTCCTAACAATGAGGACATTAATAGGATGTTAGGAGAACATTATTAGGATGTTAATGAGTTACAATAAGCAACTTTTCTTTTTATAAATGGGTCCGCTAAATAACTCAACCCTACCTGGGGGCCATTCGCCTAACGGAAATGCTTTGGAAAACGCTAACGCTTACGATTTCATTATGTTATTTCTAGCCGCCTGAGGTTTTCAAATGCCTCACGCTCTTTTTTTTCTTTTGCGTTGATAATAACAATAAATTTAAAAAAGAATCGTGAGGTATTTCAAAACTTTCGGCGGTCAGAAATAACAATATAAAATCGATAGCGTTCCAAAGCATTTCCGTTAGGCGAATGGCCCCCTGATGTAAAATGGTGGTGAAATCAGACGCGAAAATAGCTGGTAGAGCAATTCTACCTGCCACACCAGCCATCTTCACCCTGCCGGCCTGCATGTTGCTTCTTCACGCCACTTTTAAAGGATCTCAGATTGTAAGAGGTAAAAACACGTCATCATCATCTGCCTATTAATGTCCCCACTGCTGGGGTACAGGCCTTCCCTATGGATGGAATAGGGAGATTGGGCCATAACCCACCACGCGGGCCCAGTGCGAATTGGCGGGTGCTAACACGTCAGCGAGCAGAACATTCCATTTACGGATAGTGCGACAAAGAAATGAGTCACCAAATTTCTTTACACAATAAAAGAAAGAGTATCTTTAAATAAATAAATGTAAAGACTTCAAGAGCACGTTAAAATAACTATGCAAATGATTCATTAAGATAACATTGGCATCGGCCTCACAACGGCGCCATTTGCAGCAATCTATGATATCAGAGCCAATACAGCCAAGTATACCATGTAAATGTAAATTCTGTATATATGTTAGACTATAAGGTATTTATCTATGGGCCTATGTAGCCTGATTATAAATAAATAAATAAAAATAAAAAAATAAAATAGATCTTAGACAGATCTTGGACACAAAAATAATACCTACAGTTTGCCAAATCCGTCGTTTTTCGTAACACGTTCTCAAATGCTGACTGTAATTAAACGTTAGCACAAAAGGTATTTGAACCAATGTGTGGTGTTTACATTGGATTGAATAACTGGAGAAGGACAGGACACGGTTCAAATTTGTATGGAGGGTGGTAGTCAGTCTTTGGCAGACAAATTATTATGACATATACCTAGTGCACATTATTGTAAATCGTTTAACAAAAACATTTAATTTATTTTATCCCCGTTGTTTTATTTTATTTTACAATTATTCATTGGCAAATGGCAAGTTTATTTATCTATTTGTTGTTGCCAAAGCATCAAACATGTTCTATTCAATAGGTAACTTAAGTAGGTGCAATCACTCTGTTACTCTTTCATTACATTAATGGATATTTTGTGGGTATTTTATTTCATCATAATAATCAATCACAAATTTGTATAATAAGTTTACCACGATCTCAATAATACTGATAGCCATTTAACATAAAGATTGAGATGGCATTATAAGCTACATCAGACTAAAATATGATGTGACTTATGACTGGGTTGCTATAATTCTTACGAATATGTTTAATTTTCTAACACAATTTAAAATAAATCGGGTATAAATAAAAAAAATAATAATATCTGTTCATGTTATAACGCAAACTAAGCCTTCAAATGATATATAATAATGTTTCAACGCTGCCGTACATCGACGACTACTTTTGAACCGTGTTATTTGGAGTCAAACTTGGACCCAAAGCATTCGCCAATGTGTCACTTTAACGTGCATAATTAAACGTGCATTCTATGATTTCAGAGATTAATCAACTTTTAAGTATACAAAAAACAGAATAATGCAGCATTATTAGGTAGGCACTTACTCAACATAAATATAACATTCATCACAAACATAGAAGCACAACTAGAATGACAGAAAAGCAGATTTTGTTAATAACGTATAAATTGAACATAGATCGTGTTTTGCTATATCGTGAGGCGTGGGACAGTCGTGAAAATAATATACTAAACAAATGAATTAACACTTCATTAAAACGAATAGATACATATAACGATTCTTAAAGCTCAAACATAACTAGATTAACTAAACAGAAAAAGTTGAAATGCTATATAAACTTTTTAACAAAACTTGACTACTTTTAATCATGTCAATTCGAAAGATCTGTCAGTTATTGCGTGGAGTTTATTCAGTGAAAATGTTACCGTTACATAAAAAATTAATACGATTATAGTCGAACTAACAAAGACGATTATAGTCGAACTAATGCTGTTTGTAATCTAATGCTGATCTTTGCCCCTTAGCATGAACACTGCAATACAACAATTTATCTGTTTATGTACCTGTATCTAAATGTCAACTACAAACTTTGACAATTAACTTTCATTCTTTATAAAAAGTCATGCTTTGGAACCTGATAGTAACTTTCACTTAACCTATCACAGTTTATATTTTTTTTTTTACCTAAATGAAATGTCAAGTTATGTATACTACTCCATTATGATAATCTGTTATGGGATCAGTGAGTTCACGAAAATTAGTGACTGGTTGTCAGCCTCAGTCATGATTCAAAAATATTTTGAAAAAACTGTCAAATGCGAAAGCCATATAAGTGTTGAGGTTGACACAGCATTAAGGGTGCAGTACAATGCGATAGCGTTTTTTTATTTGAAGAGTTTTAGCATTAAGGATGCAGTACAACGAAATAGTGTTTCTAATTTTTTGAAATTGACAAATTTGGGTTTTGGATAACCTGTAGCTAACCATGACTAGTCTAATATATAAAATTCTCGTGTCGCGGTGTTTGTGGTTAAACTCCTCCGAAACGGCTCGACCGATTTTCGTGAAATTTTATATGCATATTCAGTAGGTCTGAAAATCGGACGTAATCTATTTTTCATCCCACTAAATGTTAAGGGTAATCCACACCAAAATTTTTTTTTTTCAATTTTAGATATATTTTTTTTTTAATTTTTTTATGATACATCATACAAAAATACATACATCCCTAAATTTTCAACTTTCTACCACCAACCCCTATTTTTTATGGCGGTACAAGGTTCGCTGGGTCAGCTAGTATATTATATATAAATTTTACGATGAATTATGATGGTAAAATTAAACGGTTTAATTGCAAATAAAGAATATTATTAGTGATGAAAGCGTTTTTATCGTAACAAATATAATTTTCTCACCCTCTCGAGTAGACCTCCATCTTGATGGCTTGTCGTTTGAACACCCTTAAACAAGGTCTGGAACCGCGTTGTATGGCGAGAGGGAATACAGCGTTGTATTCCGGACTGTTCGTATCCTTCACTAGGGCAGTGCGATCCGATACTGGGGCATCCTGGTGGAAAGAAAGATAAATAAATATTTATAATTTTGATTGTTTAAACATGTAAGAGGAGATCGTAGAAGTTACTTTCAAAGTGGTCGGTCATTGGATGGGTGACCAAAAAAATTTACTATCTCGAGCTCCTCCGTGCTTCGGAAGGCACGTTAAGCCGTTGGTCCCGACTGCATCCGCAGTCGTTAACACCCACCAATCCGCACTGGGCCCGCGTGGTGGTTCATGGCCCACTCTCCCTAATCCATCCATAGGGAAGGCCTGTGCCCCAGCAGTGGGGACTTTAATAGGCTGATGATGATGATGAACTGCTCTATGTTTAAATCTAAAGGAAATATTACTAGAAAAAAATCCACGCGGACCAGGCAGCAGACGGTACTCGAACTCGCACCCTTCGCTATCCGGGCGAATGCACTAACCAGTATGCTACCGCGGCCCTGATGGCCGTGTCTCATTCATTCTAGCCTTTCTTAAGCTGCAAGGAAGGGGATTGGTGGGTACTAAGCCGAGACCAAAGGCTTAACGTGCCTTCCGAAGTAAGGAGGAGCTCGAGATAGTAAATTTTCGGTCACCCATTCTATGATCGACCATTGAGAAAGTAGCTTAACTTTAACGAATTCTTTTTCGCTAGTTATTCGTATTTGGGGTTCAGAGATCTTTGTAGTGGCATGTACAAAGGTGTGGAACTTTCTCAATCGATTATCAATCTTATGTGAAACAAAGTAAAGCTAAAAGTCAGTTGGAGAAATTTTAAGTTTTGGTTATATTAATAACTAGCTGTGCTCCGCGGTGTTACCCGCGGTTTATTAGGGATATTTTCGCGCAGTAAAACGTAGCCTATAAGTTAATCCAGCGTGTCAGCTAACTCCATACCAAATTTTATTAAATTGCTCCAGCCGTTTAGACGTGAAGAAGTAACAAACATACACACTCACAAACTTTCGCCTTTATAATATTAAGTGTGATTTGTTGACTGCACCATCAATGATATATGTATGTATGTAATTTTTCTATGTTTGATTCCTTAGGAGACGTGTATTTAGATTTACGTATTTTAAATTTGATAATGTCAATACTCTTTCCAGTCTTTTCACAGCCATAAAATTTTCATAATAATCTCAAACTTACTTGTGGGTAAGGAAAATCGAATTTGACATAGGTATCGACTTCTTTGGGGTTTGGCACGTTGTAAGCGATGCCGCGTACGATAGTCAGCTCTAAGTCGTTCTCGTTAAGATCCGTATTGCACTGCACCACGGCGAACTGGCGAGATTCATAATGAAACTTGGGCGGATTCTGGCCGAGACTGGAAAACATAGAATAAAATATTAAGAACTAGTAGCCCGCTCTCGCTTCACTTCGGTGTAGAGCTGTAGTGTAGAATTCGAATTTTTCTCAACTTTTAAACCTTCCCTAGCCCTCCACGAACATTTCAAGACCAAGATAAGATAAATCCGTTCAGCCGTTCTTGAGTTTTAGCGAGACTAAGGAACAGCAATTGATTTTTATATAAATACTAGCTGACCCAGCGAACTTCGTACCGCCCTAAAAAAATAGGGGTTGTCCAGCGGACAAAATTGTGAATCTAAACCATTCTCAGATCCCCTTGAACACACACAAAAAATTTCATCAAAATCGGTCCAGTCGTTTAAGAGAAGTTCAGTGACATACACACTCACAGAAGAATTATATATATAAAGATAAGCTTAAGGAAACATTATAAGAATATTTTAATTCATATTTAATAATTGATAAAAACTGATTCATATTTTTGTATTTATAAAAATCATTGCATCGCTTAGAAAGATAAGGACACATAAAAAAATCAGTAATTTATATTTGCTCTCACTTATTCCCAAAATTATTTTAATATACATACTAGTCTATGATATTCTCGCCAAAATTGCATGACTGTAAAATCGTACTTTTACTTATTTCAAAATATATATTCAAGTCTTACCCATTTAAAAAAATATGCATTAAATTAGTATATAATATGAAGAAAACATCAACAACTTAAGGCGCTATTTAAATCTTATAACATTTATATAGTTTCATAGTACATTTTATTTATCAAAGGGCAATAAATCGCGTTTATAAAATCAATCACTTTTAAAATCCAAAAGAGTTTTATATATAAGGTATAGTAAAAGTCTATAATAATTTGGTTTGTTTATAAAATAAGTTTCAATTCTTAAATTTTCTAATATTTACGAAAATAAGTTTGATAATAAAACATCAATTACAGGCAGTCATCGACTTACGTCGGTTCAAGTTACGTGGAACAACGTTTTGACACTATTCCTTAAGCATACATCAATTGTTTCGATTTCCGGCATAGGATAATTCACTTGTCACGAGGTCAACCCTTGAGTTTTAAATGTAAACATATGAAAAATATGTCTCGACTTACGTCGTTTCGATTTACGTCGCGTATTTCGAGAACTTACATGCCGTAAGTACGAGGACTGCCTGTACCTAAATGTAAATAAATACCTCTTAGCGACGGCCACCACATCCAGATCCTGTTGTACAGTAACTGCCAAATGGTCGAATCTGTTAGCCTCGGCTATATGTCCCATCGCCTTATTGTGGTCGCGGTTGGATAGGCACAACTTCAGCTGAGAGCTGAGCTGTTGATGCAATCTGCTCAGAACGTCGTCATCGTCCGCGGATATGGTCGATGCGCCGTCCGCAGAGGGACCACAATCCTCTGCAGATACTATGTCGAAGCTGAGGTAAATGAATTCCGACTTAAAATGTCATTTCGAAAAATTTACTATCACATTTTTCTGATGTATAACAAGTAATTAAGAAATATAATTATTTAGCTACTTAATTTTATTTAAAATGTGGTGTGCTCGTTCTGTGATCGTAAAAGTACAGCATCTTTCACAATGGACGGTCTTAGAATGGGTGACCAAAAATCTATTACTTTAAGCTTCTTTATGCTTCACATGGCACGTTAAACCGTCAATCTGTTCAGAACGTCGTTGTCTTCCGCGGATATGGTCAGTGCGCCATCCGCAGAGGGACCACAATCCTCTGCAGATACTATGTCGAAGCTGAGGTAAAGGAATTCCGACCTAAAATGTCATTTCGAAAAATTTACTATCACATTTTTCTGATGTAACAAGTAATTAAGAATCATAATTATTTAGCTACTTAATTTTATTTAAAATGTGGTGTGCTCGGTCTGTGAAATCTATCATTTTAAGCTTCTTTGTGCTTCACATGGCACGTTAAATCTTCAATCTGTTCAGAATGTTATCATCGTTCTCGGATATGGCCTCTGCAGATACCGTGTCGAAGCTACGGTAATTTCGACTTAAGATGTTATTTCGCTGGTTATAGTCCGGCCTTCATGGCTACGTGACCGAAAACGCCTGCGATTGGCCAAGACTAAAATCACGTCACACGCTAGTAAACCTCCGGTCATAGTGACATTACATTGTATCGTTTGACGTTTCAATGACGGTCGTGTGACGTCACACACTAGTGAGACGCCATAGTCCAGAGAAACGTTATCGCGGCAACTTGAAATTTTTATTTTTAATTTAGTTTTTTTTACTGAATGACACAACAGAAACAAAAATATCCAATTTTTATGGACTCCATAAACATGAGTAAATAACGTGAGATCGTTTTCTAAAAATTGTCAAATACCCTATTGCATCTGCAATCATTAGAAACCAATCCACACTGAGCCCACGTGTTAGATCATGGCATGTTCTTTGTTATTAATAGAACGTTAATAATATTTCGTTACGACTAAAAAATCTGTTGTCACCAACTTCTACCATCCAAATGTAGGTAAATTCCTGAAGTAAAAAGCCCTGAAATTATAAAATAAATCATTCTTACGTGTTCTCCAGCTGTGTTTTGGCCCGTGGAGGTATTGGCAGCGACTGCAAATCGACCACAAGTCCGCCTCGAGCCGCCTCTATCACAGAGTCGAAACCTTTCGCGGCTCGCAGATACTCTTTGGCTTGTTCTATGTCACCTATAGGTTAAAGAAGAAAAAATATTTTTGACATTCACAAGTGCAAGTCTAGACAAAGACTGAATAAACGATATTGAATATTGAATTTTTAGAAATAAAAACGGAATTCTTGATACATATGATATATTTCTTAATTAATAGTCATTATTCGAGCTTGTTCATTTATTTGTAGGCACATCTTGGGTAGATGAGGTTAAAAATATTTGGATTCCCTAATTTCCATAGGACAAGGTCTGCTTAGTTTTAAACGACTTAATAAATTCTTCTATCAATATTATGAATTCGAAATATTGTATGATTGTTACTCATTCTTTCTGAACAGAAATGCTATTTGTCATGCAAGAGAAAATGCATACTGTAGATTAAGTTATACGTATCATATTTCTATTTCAATTATAGTTTCTTGTAGAAAAAAATTGTGAATCACCTAAGAAAAAGTTGCGGGTCGAAACTAGTGCATAATTATATATGGTTTTAAACTTTCAGAGTCACTAACATTATAGATATTAACGGGATTGATACCTTGTATGGACCTATAAAACGTGATAATAATAAAAAAATATATATACCTTGTTTTTTATGAGTCTCCGATATTTCGGCAGTGCTGCAAGCGCCATGATCACGGACTAACTCACTTTTACAAATAACAATCCCGTAATAGCTATAATATAGTCCATAATTAAAATAAAACAATCACTTACCAGCCTTCTTAGCTTTGATCGCTGCCTCCTTGAATTGTTGCTGTCTGTGCAGCAGCAAAGTCAGTTGCTTCTCGTACCTTGAACTAGAACCGGAAGCGGAACTGGAAGTGGAAGTAGGGGGGGATGGCGCGGGGCGCGGGGCGGGGGCGGGGGCAGGGGAGGGTGCTGGTTTTGAGCTGGGGGCTCCCTGTTGATGTAACATTTATCTCAAGTAATGACATATAAAAACAAATAAACTCACAATCATGGTCTCAAAAAGAAAAAGTAAAATTTTACTTTATTATGGTGTCAATTCTGGCATGGTTCTCTAAACCTAAACTTAAATTTGACAATAGTGTATTCTTGTCATTCTCTATGCAGAATAAAAAGGACAGACTTATGGTCAAGTTTAATTTAAGTTTAGAGAAACATGCCAGAATCGGCCCCTTTAACTACTTATCAATAGATAGACCCAAACACCGTCAAGCTGGAAGGCAGCGATTAGAGAGTGAATTAATGAATTAATTAATTATAACTTTATTGTACATACACCATGATTCAAATTACAATTAGTTAAGAATACAGTAGTATACAAACGGCGGCCTTATCGCTTAAAAGCAATTTCTTCCAATAAATATTGTAGGTTAACTGGAATTTACATATAAAAAATGGGCAGTAAATGGTGTTGTTCATAATTAAATTACCTTTAATACTCATACACAATTACTTATACATTTAAAATACAAATTCAAATATATCCACTCAAATACACTTACATATAGATAATGTACAAAAAAAGTGATAAATATTGCTCAGTAATCATGTTTTTAAAACAATTTAATGATTTAGCACCCCTTTTTATTTCCGGCAGCGCATTTCACAAACGAGCAGCCTAAACCACAAACGACTTGTCAAGAATTTTAGTGGAATGCATTGGAATCTCCAGTGTTAAGCTCTCTGATGATCCAAAGCACGAGCATGTGTATCATGCAGAAAATTAAAACGTTCCTTCATATAAGATGGAGCGAGGGGATCAAGCAGTATGCTGTAGAGAAGGAAAACCACCAAACAAAAAAAAATGTGTGCACGGACCACACATCTAAAGTGTAAGCTTTTTTCTTAATTAGGCGGTGCATAATGCATAGGGGAATGGAGCAGCGCACGCATCACTCATATATATGTATATTTATACTGCCGCGTGTGACGCTCGTGGCGTTTCAGCCTTCGCCAATTACCCTCCAACTTTCATGCTCATCGGGAAGAGCCACACACACACACACAGATATATATATATATATATAGTCATGTGATGCTCGTCACGCATTTCCGTTTCATCTTTTCCATAGGATTTTTCTATTTTGCACCCCAACCGAAAAGTATTCACTTCAAAAGTTCTCGAATTCTTATACCTAGCAATAATAATGAAACTATCTACTTATTGACGACCTTCGTGGCCGAGTGGTTTGAACGCCGGGTTTCATGGTGTCGCCGACTCGAGAGGTCCCGGGTTCGAATCTAGGTGGGGGCAAATGTTTGTGTGATGAATACGAACATTTGTACTCCAGTCACGGATGTTTAATATGAAGAAAAACCATATTGGCCTAACTCTTTTTTTAACCATAGTGGCCTATCTTACTTAGGCCAGTATGGCACCTCACGTTCAGATCGCAGACTAAAAACCGTAACTATGATTATGCTGCCATCTAGTGAATATTCGTTGTATCACTTTTAAACCACTGTGGCTCTATCAAAATGATCAATTTGAACTGGAAAAAATCATAAACACAATATTTAAAAAATGAGTTAGGCCACTACGGTTCTCATGACCTCATATGTACTGTATATGTATTCTATCCGTTAACCTAGTATCCCATAACACAAGCCTTACAGTGCTTACTTTGGGGCTAAGCTAATTGGTGTGAGTGTTGGAAATATTTATTATTTATTACTTACCTCCCCGGGTAGAGGCGCATACCCCGCCGGCGTTGGCAGTTCATCCGCCGATATCGGCTTGCCGGCCGCGTGCAGTCTGATCGCGTCCTTATACTGCTTCACTATGCGACCCATGCGTCGAGCTTTGGAAGAATTGCCTGCCTCCTTCGCTTTACTTTCTTGTTCCTGCACGTTAATAAATGGAAAGAGATGTGCTTTAATTTGAACTGCTTAAGGTTGTAAATCGTTTGCCTTAGTTTCTTGTAACGAAAAGTAAACAAATGGATGAATATGTGCTTTAATTTGGGGGCGAACTAAGGTTGAAAATCGTACAGCAAAACACATTAAGAACTACTAATCGTGCCTTTATACTGACTGCTACACTATGCGGCCTTTCTGTTAAGCCTTGGTTGTTTGTTCCTCAACGTTAAAAATGGGTGGAAATGTGCTTTAATTAAGGACCACCTATGATCGAACATCGTACAGCAAAGACAGTAATGCTTTAAACAAATACTTATGGTGTTATGACACTAGACGAAGACAGAGCATGGATTGAACGAGTCTCGAGTGAGATTACAAAGAAAGAGAAAAAGCGATCGCTTCATCTCTCTCACACTTATACTCGTAAGACCATTTTTACTTTACAGTTGGGTAGGCAATGCTCAGTCCAATATCTCTATGTATTTGAGTTCATCGACGTATTATGCACTGTCATTAGCTAACAACTGTTTAAAGTATGCTCATTAAAGATCGGACAACCATTACTCCCCCTCCCCCTTTGCCCACCGTCCTTTTTGATGGTAAGATTTTGGTACAATGAAAAAATATATATAAAGCATAAACTTATTTAATTACATGATCTTAGTCAACGCCAACACTATAAAAATAAATTCGAAAGTATTCTAGTTATTACTCCAAACTGGTAATATTTATAAGATTTTAAGTAGTAAAATGCGCTCGTACAGAGTCGGTGTTATACGCTAGTCCTAAATAAAGTGTATATATAAAACTGATGAATACAAAATTGTATCTAAAAACTGGTAAACTCACTTGGAAAGCGGTTAGTCTCTGCTTCAACGCCTCGTCGACTGTGGCCGCCGTTATGAGACCGCCGCTCTCGGCCGACTGCGCGGGCGCAGGGTCCCGCTCTACAACAACCATTGTTGTTTATTGTTTGCCGAACAAACATTAACCTAATGATGAAACTTACTTCAAAGCTTATACGTAAGTAGCATAACGCACGACTGAGGCGAATGGCGGTCACGCGGACATTTTAATATAGAGACATATTGGCACGACAACGCACTGTTTGCATCCGTAACCGCGCGGATGAGCCATACAAATTGATATCCGCGCAATCCCTATCCGCCGTGGTTGGCGGCTAGTGCGTTATTGCACTAAGAACGGACAGAGCGACACTTTCAGGAAATTAAGTAAATAATAAAAATATTTGCAACACACACCAATTAGCCTAGCCCCAAAGTAAGCACTGTAAGGCTTGTGTTATGGGATACTAGGGTAACGGATAGTATAACATAATTATATTGTACATATAAAAGTACATATATTTATATAGAAATACATATTAAACATCCATGACTGGAGTACAAATGCTCGCATTCTTCACACAAACATCTGCCTCCTCCGGGATTCGAACCCGAGACCTCTCGAGTCGGCGACGCCATGAAACCCGGCGTATAAACCACTCGGCCACGGAGATAGTCTGTAAATTAGTAATAATATAGTGAATTGGGGTTTTATGAAAATTTACAAATTTACAAAGATGTCTTTTGAATGGATCTTTTGGCGCGAATTAATCGAACGAGTATTTAAATTGATCCATAGACTGACGACATAGGTGATTTGACGCATGAGTAGACCTTTCGTCTCAGTGCTGCCACCTGGCGGCGTTCGAGAAAACTCCCATTGCTACTGCTCTAAAAAGAGAGAAAAAATAGCCAATACATGAACCGCCCGATCGCAGTGTCACTCTCATACTTATCGCCACTATTACTTTACAATTGGACGGGTAGCACTTAGCCCATTTTCAATGCTTTGATATAATGAATGAGGAACTCAATGGCGCGGGTGGTTAGCGTTCAGCTGTGGTCGTTGAAGTGAAGCAACTTTTGCAGTGGTCGGTCATTGGATGGGTGACGGAAAATCTTCTATATCGAGTCCCGGCTGCATCTGCAGTCGTTAGCACCCGCCAATCCGCACTGGGCCCGCATGGTGGGTCATGGCCCAAACTCCCTATTCCATCAATAGGCAAGGCCTGTGCCCTAGCAGTGCGGACATGATAGGCTGATGATGACGATGATAATGATAATGAATTATAATACACTTCAACCATTGTTTTATGTGTACTGAACAAAACTAAACCTAATGACGTTTACGAAACTCACTACAGACTGATATTGTTGTGATTGTGACGAAGCTAGCCAATCATCCTGTCATTGTTTCAATGGAAAACAAAAGTTCGGTGACGCGACCTTGACCGCTAGACGCAAACGGAAGTGAAGATTGAAAAGGTCAGGAAAAATAAACTGTGAAAATGACCTAATAAAAGGTCATCGATCTTTCAGTAGTGATGTACAAAATTAAAGGATTATAGCCTTTCTGACTGTTGGTGAAATATAAAGGTTGTGATACCCTACTGCACTTAAAAATCAATAACACTAGAAACTACGAAAGTAGCTTTGTCAGCAGGCTGCGTTTTCACGCCTAAGGCCTAGAATAGTACAATCATAAATTAGAACTCTAAGACGGTATGCTACCAAACTTCACAATAACAATAATTTTGGGGACAAAAATGCGGGATACAAATTAAATAACACATAGGTACCGTGTTGTTGTGAGATAATATTACTCACATATAGGGTTACCATCCGTTCCGTTGAGTACGGACATGTCAGGATTTTTTTAGCCTCGACTACGGACTTTGTCCGGCTGTTTAAATTTTCCGTTTTTTTTTTAAATTAGATAGAATATGAAAACTAAACCTAACGACGTTTACGAATCACTACAGACTGATATTGTTGTGATTGTGACGAAGCTAGCCAATCATCCTGTCATTGTTTCAATGGAAAACAAAAGTTCGGTGACGCGACCTTGACCGCTAGACGCAAACGAAAGTGAAGATGTAAAAGGTCGGGAAAATTAAACTACATATTAAGTCAAATACTATACTATTGTTAATAGTAACTAAGTGACTAATGTTTCCATTTTGTGCCCAAAAAGTCCGGACTTTTTCCGCATTGTCAGGACTTTTGATATTACTAAATGGTAACCCTACTTATATAGCACACCTCTATGGTGCCAAGCACGAGTTTCAAAATGCGCTAGCTACCTTTGCATCTACACAACAGACACACTCACTTAGCGGGATATTAAACGTTTTTAGAAAATATCCAGGGACGTATTTACACCAGGGCCAAGAGGTCCATGGCCTGGGAGAAGAGAAGAGGAGGCAGAAGCCTTATAAAGGCATTCGGTATCGGTCTATATTCCGATTTGATTTACTAATTCCAGGTAATTTCTATGTAGTAATTGATTTAATAATGATATTCGCTGTTTTGAAATTAACTATATTGATATTTAGTAGAATTACATGTATTAAATTATTATTAGCATGTATTCATGATTAATTGCTCTAATTTATCTCAGAACCATCTTTTCAATGGGGGGGGGGGGGGGGGATTGCAGATTTTAAAATATGTCCCTAAAAATATCTCTTGATCTCACGGGGAAAAGCATAGGACTGAAATAAAAAACGGTATATTTTTTTTTAGGTCGGGTCGTGAGGAGCTCGATGGCAGGAGTGGTTAACGCGTTCGGCGATCGTTGAAGTTAAGCAACTTTCGCAGTGGTCGATCACTGGATGGTTAGCACCCGCCAATCCGCACAATGGCAATGGCCCAATCTCCCTATTCCAACCATAAGGAAGGCCTATGCCCCAGCAGTGGGGATGAGGTATAATAATAAGGTCGTGATGGCGAAGGGTCGGCAATATTTTACAACTGTCTCACTCACCTTCTGACGTCTGCACCTGCGATTCTTCCTTGCCCTGGCTTCTGAACGCAGCCTCGATGCCTTGCGGTGAAGGTAGTTCGGACAAGTCCATCTCATGCCCCGCTTTATACGCGTCCACAACCAGATCAAACTGCTTGACGACTTTCAAGAATTCCAGCGCCATGGCTTTATCTCCGGCACGTTTGGACGACAGAGCGGCCGCTTTAAATTCTTCTTTGCGCTCTAAGAAATTAAGCCTTTATTCGCTTAACGAATCCGAAGTTACACTCTAGCATTTCACATGGCTTCGAGTTTACCGTTTTGTAAAGAATCTACTTCTTTTATTCTATGGCTTTTCTTTGTTTTCACAAATCGGTCAATGTCACGTATGTCAAGTTTACAAAACGGTAAACTCGAAGCCATGTGAAATGCTAGAGTGTTTTGTAAACTTGACCTACGTGACATTGACCGAATTGTGAAAAAAAAGAAAAGCCATAGAATAAAAGAAGTAGAAAAAGAAATCTTGACAACCGTCTATCCTTCTCATTTCCTATAGAAAATGATAAGGACATACTGCTGTAAAAGTGGCAAATAGCGAATACTTAATAATAATATTAAGCATGCGAAATGCTAGCAATATAATAACTGTTTTTGTGCTTTAAATATCTCTTTATTTCCGCATCAGGGGGTCTAATCTCTTTCTCCGAAACAAACTATCGATAACGAAGTTCAAACGAAAAATTACGTCAATTTAAGGTTTTTGAGTAGGCTTAGAAAATCTACACCGCAATCAATGTTCCGAGGAGGAACCGAGGAAAAGGTGAGATGTTTTTTTTTTTCATATTAGAGTAGGCCTCCTGAAACGTAAATTTAATGCTTAATTATGTTAATTTAAAGTTAAGTCGATGCCAGTAAGATAGCTACAAGTTTTATTTATCATTCTTTTTATGCGTCCACTAGGTCCAACTGCTTTTTTTTTAAGAATCTCACAACCATGACTTTGTCGCCCGACCTCTTGGACGACAGAGCGGCTGATATAAACTCTTCTTTGCGCTCTAAGGAATTAAGTCTTGAATCACTTAACGAATTCAAAGTGCAATGCTGGCACTTCACATGACAACAGTCTCTCCTTTTCACTTCACATCAGGTGAGGTGGGGTAATTTGATACGCCTTGTATAAAAAAAAAATCTAAACAAACTTTTAGTAAACTTTAATGACGTAAAACAGTTTTTTTTTTACATAAAAATAAAATAAAAAAAATACTAACGCAATATAATCTGCAGTCCTCTTTGTTTCTCAGGATCAAGATCGGTTGTCGCAGATTCTCTAGGTGGAGGTGGAGGAGGTCCTACTGGTTCCGGGAGACTGGCAGGTTCATCATCCGGCTCAGGGTCACCAGGTTCAGGAATATCAGGGACGGGCTCGGGAACATTGGGAATTGGATCAGCTATACGGGGCGGTGGTTCTGGAGCAGCCTCAGGGGATGTGGGTTTGCCCATGCTCACTGGCGGAGGAATATCTTCGTCTTTTATTGGTTTTCCAGCTTTGGCTTGCTTTAGTAGGTCATTCAGGGTTTTGAGGCCTCGAGCGAAACTGTAAAATTTTATTTTATGTTATTTTTATTTATCTATTAAATAAAAATGCAAGCAGATCATTATCCTAGTTCCACCTATTATAAGAAATGTGCGAGTTTGTTAGTCAATCAAGCAAAAACGGCTGATCGGATTTGGATGTAATTTGGTAGAGATACAGTTTTTTGCCTGGAGCAAGACATAAGATATTTCTAATCACAAAACAAATTTAGGTTCCCGTGGGATGCTAAAAAACTATGCGGACAAAGTTGCCGGTGGAAGTAAGAATTATTTTAAATAGCACGATTAAGCCGCACTGCAGCCTCTGGTAATGTAAAAGGTTTTGCTGGCAGTGCTGCAATATAACTTTCGAAGAGAGGAATATTTACTGAATAATTGGCCAAGCTTATCGTCAAAATGGTGGGTTTAGTAAGTAGTAGGTCCTCTGAAGGAAAGGCGAAGATGGAATAACTATAGATTCTTTAGTCTATAGTATGGAACATAATGAATAAGGTCACATTTAAATATAAAAGTTAGTAAATAATAACACAACTAACCGTCTAGCTCTACTGCTCTCGCCGCTGGCCTTAGCATTTTTTTCAGCCAGTGTATAATTTGAGATTCTCTCTTGTAATAAGCTAACGGTGCTGTTCTGACCACTAGCGGGGGCTCCGGGGGGCGGGGGTGCTGGGCGAGTAGTGCGCGACTGTGGTAGAAGTGTCTCCTCATCATCAATCGCCAACTCTCTCAATTCACTAAGTAATTCTGGGTCATCTTCATCTACGTCTGATAAAAATAAATAAAGTACAAGTAAGATTATGACTTGAGATGAAGTTGTACATGAACTGCTGTAACAGCTACCTTCATGTCTTAATTTCACTGGTACTTAACATTATACTTAACTTAGTTTCAAGTGAGTTAGTCATTTACTCAGGTTTTTTATACAAAGCAAATGAAACTTTATATACCCTCAGGCTCATATTTATACATAAAATATGGCAAAGCAAACTTTTCTTTATTAAATATGAGCTATGTTATTTTTTCTTACTAGAAATTTATGATTGTTTTCTACTTACCAACATCTTGACACATAATTAATCTTAATATCTAGTTGAACAGTCTGTAGCCAAATATAGATAAAAAAATAAGTACACAATACACATACCAGAAACTTCTTCATCTGAAGGCACATCTTTCAAACTCTGAGCAATCATTGCATCTAGATTAGCTGCGGGTACAGGTGCTGGCTTCTTTGGCCGAGCTGATCTGCCACCACCACCACCCATAGCAGCCAGCTCTGCCTCAAGGTCAATGTCATCATCTGACATGTCCATAACCTCGTCATCTCCATCATCTATATCTACATCAAGTAGACCAAACTGGAAAATATTAGAATAAATCCATTTAATTTTTGTACATTTGAACTCTTTTTATATTATATCCACATAGATCTTATGCAGCTTTTTCATTAATGTCATCTGGGGCTACTTTATATGTGCTACTAACTACATTAAAATAAATAATTATTATTTTTCAATGTAACTAGGTGGACAATTTTTGGTCAAAATTCAACAAAATCAAATTCAAAAAGAGTATACTTCTTTAATTGTATGTGTGTGTCATACTGCTGGTAGTTTGTGCAATGTTGTTTTCATAAATAATAATTTATCAAAATGTCTCTTAATTTTAATAGTGCCGAAATATCGGAGACTCATAATAAACAAGGTACATGGTAACACTCCCGTTAATAGCTATAAAGCTTCATAAAAGTACTGTGGTTCTTTGTTTATTTTGTAACTTATCAGCTGGTGACAATGGAACTTATAGACACAATCAATTTATTAATTGGATACAACGCTTTTAATTAAAAAGGTAATAACACAATCGCAGTTAACAGTAATGCCTAAAGCAGGATCTTTATCAAGGACAAACAAATATTCAATGACTCACTTGGGACAATTTAGTCTTCTTTCCAGAAGTCGGTTTCTTAAACATACTGCAAACTCTAATACAACACGAGATTATATGGGCACCAACAAATTATTGATCATGCATAAAACAACAGTAAATAAAAGAATAAATTGTTTGTAATTATTTTTTAACCACAATGAACAAAATATGAATCCTTTTGTACTGAAGTTACTGATCTCTCTCACTGACAGCAGTTTTGTGGACAGTAGGTGCAGCATGGCTACGTTTCAAAACCTGCTCCAGTAGCAACAAATGTCAAATTTGACATAAGTTTCATACTATCTAAATCAAATTGGAACGTCAGAGTGAAAAGTTACAATCATAGCGACGGTTGGGAACGCAGCCCAGCTGGCCTGGGTTGCTGACAGTGACAGTGGTAATAGACAACAGTAGGATTGCGTTCCGTACGTACATTTATTAATTAATTGCACGGAACCATGTTTCCTTACAATTTCCGCACATTTCTTCCATGGACTTGCCATAAACAAGACTGATTACTATTAAAAATATCATTTCACAAAATTGACCTAATTTGTGCATACGTACAAAATTTATTTTGCATTGGTGTCGATTCTGGCGTGATTCTCTAAACTTAAAACTAAATTTAACATCAGTCTCTCTTTTTCATTCTGTATAGAGAATGACAAGGAAACACTGTTGTCAAGTTTAAGTTTAGATTTAGAGAATCGTGCCAGAATCGACACCATTGTTAGATTCAGAGGACAAGCAAGAGCACAGTGAAAGACCTTCTGTCTTATTCTTAAAACATACCGGCCATAGAAATGAATTTAGTTTTTCTGAAAGTATTCTGTAATGGATGCTAAATGTTAAATGGGCTATTTTATGTTAATTCATAAATAATCTCTGATGCCATGTTGAAGCAGAAGGACTATAGAATTAACATTTTAGAAACTGGACCATGGTGTCAATTCTGGCATGATCCTCTGAAGCTTGTAATTTATAATTGTAATTTTACTTGTAATTTTAATCAATGAATTATCTATAATCTATGAATCTAAACTTAAATTTGACAACAGTGTTTCCTTGGCATCCTCTATACAAAATGATAAGGAAAGACAGACTGATGGCAAATTTCATTTTTAAATTTAGAGAATCATACCAGAATCGACCGAATCACTTGTCTTTAATTAGATTAAAGCAACGAAGTTTATTGAATTTAAGTTAATTTTACATTGTCTGATAAATTTAGATGCAAAGAGAGCTAACACCCAAGCAGGAGATTAATGTGAAATCAATGAATATTAAAAAAGTATGTTTATTAAAATAAGTACATAGAAAAAGAACTTGGCATCGTGTTCTAGGTAGTCACCGTCATTAATTTAAAAAAGTTGTTTAGATCTGCCATATTCAAAAATATAGTAGCTACTCACAGATAAAAAACCTACTAAAAAATTGCAAGGGCTTAAAATCTTATTTATTCTAATTTAGACAACGCCTACATAAGCTAGCTATTTATTTGATGAAAAGTTTGCTTTCTTAAACTTTATTTATTTTTATATTATTGATTTTATATTTCGGGAAAGCTTATTAACTTTGGTAGTTATGGAAGTTTTTCCCTTTATTTACAGAGCAACACCAAAATCATCGCAAGAGTGACGTATGAACGGCCGAAGAAACGAAAACGAAAGAAAAGCCTTTCTGTGCCGTTGTTATCTTCTAATAATTCTGAAGAATGGAGACAAACGGCCAGGCTAATGGGCTTAAATCTAAAAAGAAAGATAACAGCGACGTAAAGGACAATTTATGGTAACAATGCACAGTTAACTTTTCGACTAACATGCAGTCCCCTTTTATGGGATTCAATGTGTCACACCTACGTGATGTCAAGCTTCATTCCTGAGAAATATGTGACCTAGCTGCAACGATTTCCCTTTGTATGTAAAGTAGCTGTGAAATTTTTCGTTCTAAACCTCAGACGAACAGTTTACAGCACGATGACGCATCCACTGTCGCTGTCACCTGTCTCGATCGCACGAACATCTGATGATTGATTATGCTTCTTTCAGGTCTTCGATCTTAGAGGAAGTTCAGAATCAAGGGAACACAAAACTACCTTCTAACAAAAATGTTTTAGTTTTGGGTGACAATGAGACTGGCAAAACAACTCTAGTAGCAAAATTACAAGGTGTAGAAGACCCCAAAAAAGGGTCGGCTCTCGAATATGCATATATAGACGTTAGAGATGAATACAGAGATGGTAAATATTTATAGACTTTTTCTCTCAAAATAGTTAACTACTAATGGAAATCTGATAAACAAACAATCAATAATTCCTAAACATATTTGATGTTGCCATTCTGGGCTTTATTTATCTTTATGATACCTGAAAAGTCTTTATTGATAAAACAATAAGGTCCTTGTTGTGCTTCTCAAACACATTTCCTACTTAATTTTATGGCAATCCCCTCAATATAATTAGAGCTTTAATAATGTAAAGATAGACTTAATGTTTATTACTATAGCTATTATTACAAACTAACATAATGATAGGTAAACTATGCACTCAATTGTTTAAAATTTACGGTTCAGAATAATACAAATTTATTATGCATGAATTTGTATTATTTTCATTGCAAATTTTAAAAGCTACTGACTGTTACTACCTCGACAGATCACACACGTCTCAGTGTATGGGTGCTGGACGGTGATCCAGGCCACACAAATCTGCTCAAGTTTGCACTGAACGAGGAAACATTCCCACATACCCTGGTGGTGCTCACAGTGGCCATGACCACACCATGGGGTATACTAGACCAATTGCAAAGCTGGGCCTCTGTGCTTGGTGATCATATAGACAAATTGGATCTCACACCAGGTCAGTATCAAAAATTTTGATATCTGAAAAAATATTTTTCTACAGGATAGAAAATAAAACCTTAATGAGTCAAATATAATATAATATTTAAGTATGCGGAATAGTTTATATTTTTATTTCACCTTTTTAGTATGCTCCAGGGGTACGTCTGGCATTGCGATGTCCTTTTATAAGGCTTCTGCTGTAGTTTTGTGAACCGATGGCGTAGCTTCTTGACCTTCACAAGTGCTTGTAACAGCCTAGACTGAATAAATGATGTTTGATTTTGATTTTTAACAAAAATCACATGCTTAAAATTATTATTTAAATCATCATAATACAAAAAAATATTTTTAATTTAATGAAACACCCATTCTTAAATATGAAACAGTTTTAGTGAAAAATCACTAATTATGTGAAATTTAAGTTTTTTAATTTATGTGATTTCTGATGTATAATTATCTTATTAGAAGTTATATTAAAGCCATCATTAATCTCCCAAGTAAATTTTGTAAACAAGAATTACCATAAAAAAAAAACATTTGGTACCTTTAAAAAAATATATTTTCTGAAAACAAACAGTTTCTCATTACCCTTTTATTAAAAACTGAAAATGTTACCTCTATATTAAATTAAAATAATATACAAAGACCATATCCAAGCCCCGTACGGCAGGGTATATTAAGTGGGCCACATGAACATGGACTTTTAGCTAGTGTATCAAGAAACTTCAGTAGCTGAGATACAGATAAACTTTGCTTCTCATAGAAATCCATTACAGTTCCTTGTATGAGAAAACATTAATAAAAAAAAGTTATTGTATTTGTGTATTCCAGTAGGTGAAAGTAACAATCAGTATTAATTCTTATTTTAATCCAAATCATCAGGTGTAACAACTCTTTTTGAATGTGTAAGTTCACTCTTAAGAACACAATTAACTCTATTAATAGTGTGTATGTAGAAGTGATATAATAATAAGGAGCTTGTTCTCTATACCTAAAATATCATGGCAGAGGATACTGGATTTTATAAAATTCTCTTAAGTGGTGTGTGAGTACAAAAATATAAGAAGCAGCGTTTCTGCAGCAAATTAAGTTAAATTTTGTACAACTATTAAGTATAGTATCTTCAAAAGTACTTATGTCATTTATAAAATTTCAGCTAAGCCAGTAATGTATTGTTTTTTCAATCAATACTATTTTCTTTTATCACCCACTTACAAGTTGTGGAATAAATTAATGTGTCTGTAATAAATAGAGAAGTATACAGAGCAATCTTAATTGTCCCATCTAAATGACTCTAAAACGTTGACGACAAAAGCATATTTATTAGAATTCTAATTTATGAAGTAGGCATAATTGATTTTTTTTACCCTCTCTTTATGCTTTGTTCAAAATCAAATACTGTAAGTTTATCTTGTGCTTTACATATATAGTGATACCCTTGATAACCTCACAGTTATGTACTAAAATGATTCATTCTGAATACTTATAAATCATTTACTAAGACTTTTATTTGTGCCTTTTAATGGTATCTGTTAGTTATTGTTATTTATTGTTAATGGGCCTGATTTATTAAACTTTAAACTAAATTTTACAGCCAACTCTCCCTTTTGTTTGTAGAGCATGATATAGGTATACATATCATATTTTTATAATTTTTCAATTGTCATAAGCTTTTAATTTAGATAAAATTAGTTAATATTAGCTATTAATTAGTAGTTAGGAACCAAGATCGGAATGTGAATTATTAAGCACTGTCAGCAGTATAATATCAGCATTGTTTTAGTTGCGTCTGATAATTATCAAAATGCCATAGTTTTAATAACTTGCTCCATTAGATCCGAGTTTGGCAACATACAATAACCATGAGATTTGAAAATATAAACAACAACATTTCTCATTAGATTGATGAACATCATATTCGGAAACAATAGTGGCAGATTGCCAGTTTGTCGCTTACAATAGTTCCCATAATTTACTTGTCCATTGATTGAGATTGGGGACTGTAAAATGTGGCTGATTATGTCTATCTTTCTCTTTGACTTGTGTTGTACAATATGGGATTTTCCATTTAAATCCGAGTTTTAACATGGTGCGATACAAGACATCAGCGCTCAAAATGAAATATTATTAATAATCCTAACAAATATGTGTATAAAAAAATCGCATCGCTCGTAGTTTATTAGGATTTTATCTTTTAACCTACTAATATACTATATGTGAAAGTTTGTATGTTTGTAAGTCACTCACGCAAAAACGGGTGAACTACTTTAGATAAATGTTTACACACAATCTGTTTGTACTACTACCTGGATTGAGACAAGGATGCTTTTTATTGCGTTATTTTTTTACGTTCCTGAGGGATTTTATTATTTATGTTATTTTATTTTACGGGTTCGCAAAAAACAAAAGTTAACGCGGACGCAGTCGCGGGCGGCCGCTAGTATAGCACATAGTATGTTTATAAAAGAAATCGCATCGCTCGTAATTTATTTAGACTTGTAACTATATTTCTATATTGATATTATAAAGCTATTATTAATAGAATATAGGAATCCGTCATTATCCAGGGCAGTAGCAGAGCGTAGCTTAGCTTTGGGTCGGTTGAGAAGGAATCCGACTCCTGGGCATCTTACAATACAGTGTCAGCCTCTTCGGATTCCATGGTTCATAGAAACTAAATAGAATAGGTCTTATGCAGTTCTTGCTCACAGATTACGATCTGGTCATTATTCATCTAGGAAGTTTGCACGTTTGATGAAGAAAGCTGATTCTCCCTATTCTGGACTATGTAACAAAGTCAACGATGTCCAACACATTTTGATGGAATGTGTTAAGGATAGAAGAGACAGAGAGCTATTCATATCCGAAAATACAAAAATAGCGACAACTTTGGGAATAGAGGTTCCTTTGTGGAAATCTAATTCTATCTCATTCAGACGCAGCAAAGGCGATGTTTGATATGGTTTTCGCTGTTAAGAATAGCTCGCCCTCTCCAATGTAAATTAGATTATATTTGTTATTTTTTAGCATGTAACTATGGGATGTATTAATCTAAAGAATATTATACTAGAAAAAAAAAAATACGCGGACCATACAGCAGACGGGACTCGAACCGGCACCATTCGTTGAAAAGCCTTCAATGAAAGCCTCTAAATAAATAAAGGACAAAAAAAATATAAAGCTGAAGAGTTTGTTTTGTTTTGTTGAACGCGTTAATCTCAGGAACTACTGGCCCGCTTTGAATATTTTTTGTGTGAGATAGTGCATATATCGAGGAAGCCTATTTAAATAATAAATAAATAAATAAATATTTCCAACACTCACACCAATTAGCCTAGCCCCAAAGTAAGCACTATAAGGCTTGTGTTATGGGATACTAGGGTAATGGATAGAATACATATACTTTACATATATAAGTATATTTATATAGAAATACATATTAAACATCCATGACTGGAGTACAAATGCTCGTGTTCATCACACAAACATCTGCCCCCACCGGGATTCGAACCCGGGACCTCTCGAGTCGGCGACGCCATGAAACCCGGCGTACAAACCACTCGGCCACGGAGGTCGTCAATAAAATCAAATTTAACTTAACGCTACGATTCATAGAAGCGGAGCTCAAAGAAAAAAATTGCGAGACGAAAAAAATATTCCATTTGTGAACTTCCGTTGCGTGCGCTGCGTAAACGGTAGAAATTACACAAAAACCGTCTTTGAAGAAATTGTTTCCCTGTAAAAGTTCTATAAAAATGTCCGCGACAGCTAATGTCTATTTTTTTAGGATGACCAACTATAACCTTATTCCTCAAATTAGTACGGCTGCAACCGCAGGGCACCTCTAGTCTCCAATAAATGTGAGGTCCCCGCTATGTTTATATTTTGACCGTGACTCAGACGTTACGTCATATTGTCGCGTAATGTTTTACCAATAGATGCCGGACAGACGCAGAGACTATAACTTGTTTATCGTGTGTTTGATCATCGATTTAATTTATTATTAGACGCTATTATTGCGCCGTTCGGAATGTCGTTATTGTCATGCTAGGTGTGAAGAAATCTCATTTTCTATATTAACATTAGTATCTAGTTAGTAGTAACAGCAATAATTATTTGATTTAGTGCATTGATTGGATATTATTTTAAAAATTAAATATAACAATTCATTAAAAAATATTTATTATGAATTTACAAATTATAGTTCTATTCCTTAAAAAATATTTAACAACCAACTTACGAAAATTAATAAAGAATTTGATGATAAAGAGTAGTTACAAATTTAAACATATTTCATTAACCTAAATAAATTTAAGAAGAACTTTACCTAAAAAAATAATCCATAGACGAGACAACTTTAGTAAAAATATCAAATCACATACAGCAAATAATTGTATTAGGTGATCAGAGTTGTTGCTTTATAGCAGCGCTGCGACGGGCGACCCGCCTCACGCAGGGTTGCTCTATGAAATAACATGAAACAAACACGCGCAGCGGATTTCCGCTCCGTGCTCCCGCTTAACGCAGCGCAGGCCCTAAACATGACATTTGAGGCTGAAATAAAAGTAAATAGCAAAGTTTCTTCTTAATGTCTCAGACCAAAACTTTGTTCAAGATGCACAGCACTGTAGTTTTAACATTGATTACAACACGAAGCTATAAATTTCAATTTTTTTCTTTGCAGAAGATAGATTAAACAGTAAAAAGCAACAAGTGCAAAAGTGGCAAAGGTACACAGAGCCCGGCGACGAGCTGGAGGCTTCGGCGACATCTCCCATGAAGCGATCGTCACGGAACCTTTCGGATGACCTGGAGAACGGAGACGACGACGACTGCCCCCTGCCAGAGGCGGTGCTTACCACCAATCTGGGGCTGGACATCGTTGTCGTGGTCACCAAGGTACGATAGATTAAAAGCAACAGGCACAGAAGTGGCAGAGGTACAAGGAATGTGATATCCCAAGAAGCGATCGTCACGGAACCTTTCGGACGACTTTGAAAATGGACACGATGACGACTGCCTTCTGCCAGAGGCGGTGCTTACCACCAATCTGGGGCTGGAAATCTTCGTTGTGGTCACCAAGGTAAGTTAGATTAAACGCAACAGTCACAGAAGTGCCAGAGGTACAAGAAATGTGATCTTCCAAGAAGCGATCGTCGCGGAACCTTTCGGACTACTTTGAAAATGGACATGATGACGACTGCCTTTTGCTAGAGGTGGTGCTTACCACCAATCTGGGGCTTGACATCCTCGTCGTGGTCACCAAGGTAAGTTAGATTAAACGCAATAGCCACAGAAGTGGCAGAGGTACAAGAAATGTGATCTCCCAAGAAGCGATCGTCACGGAACCTTTCGGACGACTTTGAAAATGGACACGATGACGACTGCCTTTTGCTAGAGGCGGTGCTTACCACCAATCTGAGGCTGGACATCGTCGTTGTGGTTAACAAGGTAAGATTAAACAGTACAAAGCAAACCAAAGAAGTGGCAGAGGTACAAGGAATGTCATCTCCCATGAAGCTTCGTCGCGGAACATTTCCGATGACTTAGAGAATCAAGTTGATGATGAATGCCTCCTTCCAGAGGCGACGCTCACCACCAATCTGGGGCTGGACATTGTCATTGTGGTCACCAAGACATCTTTGGGCTTATCGTTAGGCTGTTTTTAGTTTTAACGAATACAAATATTATTGGTGTAAGCAATATTATAGAGAATTCGACACGGCCATTAATGCCGCTGTAGCATAGTGATCAGTGCATCCGCTCGGATAGCGGAAGGTGCGGGTTCGAGTCCCGTATGGTACCCGGTATGCGTGATTGCTTTTCTTATAAAATTTTCTTTAGATTTAAAGGTTTAAAATACTTTTTTTTAAGTGTCAAACATAAATATACAAGTTGGTAAATACTTATATAATAGCTATTTGGCAACTTGTATATTTATGTTTCAACAGTTTCGTTTTCGTTTCGTTTCAACAGTCAACCTATTAACTACAATAAATTTCAAAGCTCATCAGTACCCCTAGCACGAACCAGTATCGAATTCGTATGGTTTGCAAGTCCGAAATGTCATTGTCAAATGTGTACTGATTTTTAGTTCTTTTTACGTACTTTGTGCCGCTGCTGTTCAAGTTTCCATACAAAATATAACATTGACATTTCGGTTTGCAAACTATTCGAATTCGATAATGGTTCGTGCTAGGGGTACTAGGTCAATATAAGAAAAATGGTTTCTTTTCGGAAAATGTAGCTGATTCAGTGTTAGAGTGTTATTTCTACTGCATTTCCAATAACCTGGTTAAATCAAAAGTATTTATTAGTATTTGTTTCTTAAGTTTTCACGCACACCTTTCATATAATTCTGACGACACAGCCTGAAAAGGATGCGAAACGTCAAAAAAAAAGACAGCAATAAACCGTTTAAGCGTGTTTTATTTAATAAACTAGTGGCCCGCCCTCGCTTCGCTTCGGTGTAGAGCTGTAGTGTAAACTATAGTTTTTGTTCTCAGGCTTGTGCAATAAACAATGCCTTTATTTATATAATTACACGTGTTATTGTGAGTCAACCATAAAAGATAGACATATGCTGTTGCGGGATATTTTTTAGACAATTTTATGTAGAATATTTCCGTCATACATGATTTCCATGTAACTTTAACCATTAAGGCTGCACACGCGACGAAAGCTTAAAAAATGAAGTAACTTCTCCCGTTTTCCCAACATTTCCCTTCACTACTCTGCTCCTATTTATTGTAGCGTGATGAAAAGTATACTATAACCTGCCCAGGAGTATGAAGAATAATTGTACCAAGTTTCGTTAAAATCCGTCGAGTAGTTTTTGTTTCTATAAGGAACATACACACAGACAGACAGACAGACAAAAAATTTACTGATTGCATTTTTGGCATCAGTATCGATCACTAATCACCCCCTGATAGTTATTTTAAAAATATATTTCATGTACAGAATTGACATCTCTGCAGATTTATTATAAGTATAGATTATTCATTCAAACCAAAAGAATGCGTTATTCTAGCTAAAGTAAGTAACTCAAATTGGCCTATCCTACTTATACGACTCGATCTTTCCAGACTGACTATATGAGCACACTCGAGAAAGAGCACGATTACCGCGACGAACACTTCGACTTCATGCAGCAGTGGATCCGAAGGTTCTGTCTACAGTACGGCGCTGCTTTGTTCTACACCAGCGCTAAGGAGGACAAGAATTGTGATCTGCTGTATAAATACCTCACGCATAGGATATATGGCTTGCCGTTTAGGACGCCCGCGCTTATTGTTGAGAAAGACGCTGTGCTTATGTGAGTTTCAACATCGTTTTACACAATATAATCGCATATAAATTTTTAAACGGTACTTTAGCCAATTACAGAAACTCACTTTTCACTTAACACCATTCAAAAATTAAAATGATTACGTAGGGTAGAAATTACAAATTAACAATAATATAAAAAGAAATACCAACAAATATTCAAATTAATTTTGCGATAAATATAAATACCTATATAAATCAACATTATAAATGGAGCATGATAACTAAATTTGTGTTAATAAGTTGTACGTGTGTTTGGTGCAGTGTGTGTGTGTGTGTGTGTGTGTGTGTGCATACCTTCCGTAAAATCCATATCGAAACGATATCCCAGTAAAAACAGCGAAATGCATGAGCTGAAGCCAGTGCTCTTCTCTATGATGATATCTAAGGTTGCATTTAATTTCCTTCTACTTTATCAGTCATGTCATATGTGTAAGCAGTTATTAGAGTGTGTTCTTATTAGTATCAGGTGTCAAACAGTTTTGCCTGTGAGTCACTGTAGCGTTCTCGCTGCCGTATCAAATTTCTTACGAGTAGGAGTATTTACTCTAGAGTGTGTATACCAAGGTCGGATCCAGCTTTGGCGCCAGGGGGGGTTCATATAGTCGTGTTCAAGTCACAGTGGGTACAGATGGACCCAGCCCAGGGGGGGGTCATGATCATGACCCCCCCTCTGGATCCGCCCTTGGTGTATACCCTTTATCTATAGTCTGACGTCAGTAAGCGTTGGTTTTTAGTCACCGAATCAATTCGATAGCGTAATCGGTATCCTTAGCACGAATCAATATCGAATTCGAATAGCTTGCGAGTCCGAAATGTCATTGACAAATGTGTACTGATTTTTAGTTCTCGTTACGTACTTTGTGGCGCTGCTATTTAAATTTCCATACAAGACATTGACATTTAGCACTCGCAAACTATTCGAATTCGATAATGGTTCGTGCTAGGGATGCGGATTCTGAAGGCTTACTAATCACGGAAGGTACATAAAAGACTATTGTAAAAGAAAACTTTAAATCCTTGGGAAACTTTGGTTTTAAAGAAAGTAGACCATTGTTTTATTTAAATTGTGTCATTTCTTTTACAGACCCGCTGGTTGGGATAGTATGAAAAAAATTAGCATATTATATGAAAACATGCAGTCGTGTAAACCAGACGACTACTACAGAGACGTCATTGTGCAGCCCGCTATACGGAAAGTAAGTTTTTTTATATATCGCGACGCTAGCGCTTTTATAACGTTCTAGACTTGCCGCTATTTTCGATTTTACATCTGACACTCAAAGTCCAAAATCCATCGTAAAAAAAAGCGAATATGCTTATGACCACACAACTGAAGTGAAACTTCTTTAGCTCCATCTGTATGTATATATATATTTATATATATATATGTACACAATATATACATGTCTGTACATACATACACATATATTAATTTTCTACAAATATTCAAATTTATTTTATGTTTTCATTGCTAAACAAAAAGTCAAATTTCCCAAACTTAACCTGAAGATTTGTTGATAGAGAGTAGATTTAATAGTAAAATACTAAATTGTTATTGATTATTGATAAATTACGTCGTGTAATCAATTAAAAAACCTATTTCAATAGTTAACATCAAGTAAACATGTAAGTTAGCACTAGATTCATATATTTTGTGACGGGTATTGTTCATTGTTTACCGACGAGTCACCGGTGACACTAATCATAACGCGTAACTCGTAACGCATTCGCCAGTTTACTTTCCTACCATTTTATTATATGTATAGATATTGTGGTGCTCATACTACAGGGAAAGGGGTTATATTGTGATTTGTTTTTCTTTAGAGTGGCACCAGTCGCGAGGCGGAAGTACAAGCTGAAGACGAGCAAGCTTTCTTACAACGTCAGTTGGCCGCGCTACAAGCCGGCACTCCCGCGCCGCCCCGCGCCGACTCACCGCTGCGGGCCACGCACCGGGCGCAGGCGCAGGTACGTGTATACAACGTCAGTTGGCCGCGCTACAAGCCGGCACTCCCGCGCCGCCCCGCGCCGACTCACCGCTGCGGGCCACGCACCGGGCGCAGGCGCAGGTACGTGTATACAACGTCAGTTGGCCGCGCTACAAGCCGGCACTCCCGCGCCGCCCCGCGCCGACTCACCGCTGCGGGCCACGCACCGGGCGCAGGCGCAGGTACGTGTATACAACGTCAGTTGGCCGCGCTACAAGCCGGCACTCCCGCGCCGCCCCGCGCCGACTCACCGCTGCGGGCCACGCACCGGGCGCAGGCGCAGGTACGTGTATACAACGTCAGTTGGTCGCGCTACAAGCCGGCACTTCCGCGCCGACTCACCGCTGCGGGCCACACACACAAATCTTTTTGATGAACAGACAAATAACGGTGATGTTAGTTCCGATTTTCGCGACATTTCTAAAGATCCTTATCAAACTATAACTTTCGACGTCCTTTGAGCCGGATTTCGTTATTTGTATTTATTTACAAATAATGAAATCCGTCTCGAAGGACCACGATTTTGTAAAGTTGCATATGCAGTCGTTAACACCCGTCAATCCGCACTGGGCCCGCTTTGTGGGTCATAGCCCGATCTCGCTATTCCATCCAAAATGAGGACATTAATGGCTGATGATGATGTTGAAGAAAAGTAATCTAATTTGTTGGAAAATATTTTTAAATAAATACATTTATCCCACAGTTGGACGGCGCGAAGATAGGCATGGGCCCGGGCACGCCCGGCAACGAAGGCGTCCTAGCCAACTTCTTCAACTCTCTGCTTTACAAGAAGACGGGAACGCCCGGAAGAGCGGCCGACCCCTCCCCCGCCGCTGCCGCCGCCCGCTCCGACGCCGCGGCGGAGTTAGACCGCCTCACGCGCGCCAAGCCGCGCCCCCCCGCCCCGCCGCCGCTCGACCTCAACTCCTCCTCCGAGTGCTAGCGTGAGTATATACCCGCCCCCGCTCCGACGCCTCGGCGGAGTTAGACCGCCTCACGCGCGCCAAGCCGCGCCCCCCCGCCGCTCGACCTCAACTCCTCCTCCGAGTGCTAGCGTGAGTATATACCCGCCCCCGCTCCGACGCCTCGGCGGAGTTAGACCGCCTCACGCGCGCCAAGCCGCGCCCCCCCGCCGCTCGACCTCAACTCCTCCTCCGAGTGCTAGCGTGAGTATATACCCGCCCCCGCTCCGACGCCTCGGCGGAGTTAGACCGCCTCACGCGCGCCAAGCCGCGCCCCCCCGCCCCGCCGCCGCTCGACCTCAACTCCTCCTCCGAGTGCTAGCGTGAGTATATACCCGCCCCCGCTCCGACGCCTCGGCGGAGTTAGACCGCCTCACGCGCGCCAAGCCGCGCCCCCCCCGCCGCTCGACCTCAACTCCTCCTCCGAGTGCTAGCGTGAGTATATACCCGCCCCCGCTCCGACGCCTCGGCGGAGTTAGACCGCCTCACGCGCGCCAAGCCGCGCCCCCCCCGCCCCGCCGCCGCTCGACCTCAACTCCTCCTCCGAGTGCTAGCGTGAGTATATACCCGCCCCCGCTCCGACGCCTCGGCGGAGTTAGACCGCCTCACGCGCGCCAAGCCGCGCCCCCCCCGCCGCTCGACCTCAACTCCTCCTCCGAGTGCTAGCGTGAGTATATACCCGCCCCCGCTCCGACGCCTCGGCGGAGTTAGACCGCCTCACGCGCGCCAAGCCGCGCCCCCCCGCCCCGCCGCCGCTCGACCTCAACTCCTCCTCCGAGTGCTAGCGTGAGTATATACCCGCCCCCGCTCCGACGCCTCGGCGGAGTTAGACCGCCTCACGCGCGCCAAGCCGCGCCCCCCCCGCCGCTCGACCTCAACTCCTCCTCCGAGTGCTAGCGTGAGTATATACCCGCCCCCGCTCCGACGCCACGGCGGAGTTAGACCGCCTCACGCGCGCCAAGCCGCGCCCCCCCGCCCCGCCGCCGCTAGACCTCAACTCCTCCTCCGAGTGCTAGCGTGAGTATATACCCGCCCCCGCTCCGACGCCTCGGCGGAGTTAGACCGCCTCACGCGCGCCAAGCCGCGCCCCCCCCGCCCCGCCGCCGCTAGACCTCAACTCCTCCTCCGAGTGCTAGCGTGAGTATATACCCGCCCCCGCTCCGACGCCTCGGCGGAGTTAGACCGCCTCACGCGCGCCAAGCCGCGCCCCCCCCGCCGCTCGACCTCAACTCCTCCTCCGAGTGCTAGCGTGAGTATATACCCGCCCCCGCTCCGACGCCACGGCGGAGTTAGACCGCCTCACGCGCGCCAAGCCGCGCCCCCCCCGCCCCGCCGCCGCTAGACCTCAACTCCTCCTCCGAGTGCTAGCGTGAGTATATACCCGCCCCCGCTCCGACGCCGCGGCGGAGTTAGACCGCCTCACGCGCGCCAAGCCGCGCCCCCCCGCCCCGCCGCCGCTAGACCTCAACTCCTCCTCCGAGTGCTAGCGTGAGTATATACCCGCCCCCGCTCCGACGCCTCGGCGGAGTTAGACCGCCTCACGCGCGCCAAGCCGCGCCCCCCCGCCCCGCCGCCGCTAGACCTCAACTCCTCCTCCGAGTGCTAGCGTGAGTATATACCCGCCCCCGCTCCGACGCCGCGGCGAAGTTAGACCGCCTCACGCGCGCCAAGCCGCGCCCCCCCCGCCGCTCGACCTCAACTCCTCCTCCGAGTGCTAGCGTGAGTATATACCCGCCCCCGCTCCGACGCCACGGCGGAGTTAGACCGCCTCACGCGCGCCAAGCCGCGCCCCCCCGCCCCGCCGCCGCTAGACCTCAACTCCTCCTCCGAGTGCTAGCGTGAGTATATACCCGCCCCCGCTCCGACGCCGCGGCGGAGTTAGACCGCCTCACGCGCGCCAAGCCGCGCCCCCCCGCCCCGCCGCCGCTAGACCTCAACTCCTCCTCCGAGTGCTAGCGTGAGTATATACCCGCCCCCGCTCCGACGCCTCGGCGGAGTTAGACCGCCTCACGCGCGCCAAGCCGCGCCCCCCCGCCGCTCGACCTCAACTCCTCCTCCGAGTGCTAGCGTGAGTATATACCCGCCCCCGCTCCGACGCCACGGCGGAGTTAGACCGCCTCACGCGCGCCAAGCCGCGCCCCCCCGCCCCGCCGCCGCTAGACCTCAACTCCTCCTCCGAGTGCTAGCGTGAGTATATACCCGCCCCCGCTCCGACGCCGCGGCGGAGTTAGACCGCCTCACGCGCGCCAAGCCGCGCCCCCCCGCCCCGCCGCCGCTCGACCTCAACTCCTCCTCCGAGTGCTAGCGTGAGTATATACCCGCCCCCGCTCCGACGCCTCGGCGGAGTTAGACCGCCTCACGCGCGCCAAGCCGCGCCCCCCCGCCCCGCCGCCGCTCGACCTCAACTCCTCCTCCGAGTGCTAGCGTGAGTATATACCCGCCCCCGCTCCGACGCCGCGGCGGAGTTAGACCCCCTCCCGCGCCCCAAGTAACGCCGCCGCTCGACCTCAACTCCTCCTCCGAGTGCGAGTGTGAGTATATACCCGCTCCCGCCAGAGTTAGACCGCCCCCGCCCCGACCCACGGCGGAGTTAGACCCCCTCTCGCGCCCCAAGTAACGCCGCCGCTCGACCTCATCTCCTCCTCCGAGTGCGAGCGTGAGTATATACCCGCCCCCACTGGAATTAGACCGCCCCCGCTCCGACCCGCGGTGGAGTTAGACCCCCTCCCGCGCCCCAAGTAACGCCGCCCCTTGACCTCAATTAGTCCTCTGAGTGCTAGTGTGAGTATATACCCGTCCCCGACGGAGTTAGACCGCCCCCGCTCCGACCCGCGGCCGAGTTAGACCCCCTCCCGCGCCCCAAGTAACGCCGCCTCTCGACCTCAACTCCTCCGAGTGCTAGCGTGAGTATATACCCGCCCCCGCTGGAGTTAGACCGCCCCCGCTCCGACCCGCGGCGGAGTTAGACTCCCTCCCGCGCCCCAAGTAACGCCGCCGCTCGACCTGAACTCCTCCTCCGAATGAGTATATACCCGCCCCCGCCGGAGTTAGACCGCCCCCGCTCTAATCGCGCCATATATGCTCCATAAGTGAGCTAAGACCTTTGGACCGCCTCTTGCGCGCCAAGCCCCGTTTGCTTACTGCCGCGCCAATGAGCTCAATGTAAATGGGGTATAGGGCGCTTGTTACTTAATAATATTTTTTTATTTTATTAAGACTGTGAGAAAAAATATTAATCAGAATCTAGCTCTTCTTTTCCGCTCATCTCTGCATTACCGCCGGAGTAGTTTCCCCAGATTGTCGCTGCAGCTGGTTAAAAGTTGTGCAACACCTCTTTTTAATAGCTGTAACTGAATAAACATATATTACACATTGTCTATAACTCATAACTTAAGGCAGTTTTTTCAATCCACCGAAAATATACCAGTTATTATTAAAAAAAATTACATTCAATAAATAGTGTATTTTTTTCAATGTGTAATATATTATATATAAATAGTAACAATAAATTCCCCCCGCTGGTTTATTAGGCCCCAGAAAACATAATACTGACATGCATTATTTTTTTTCCCACAGGTAATGTATACAGCGACGACGTTACCCGCGCCCTCTGACGGCCGCGTCACGGCTCCGTCACGGCCACGTTCAGTTCGCGTCACGCCCGCGTCCCGCTTTCAAAACGTAACTATACAATCCACGCGCACGGAAATACCTCACCAACGCGTAAAACTTCATACAAATCGGCTGCTGTTACACCAATCAGACGGCAACTGTTTATCGACCAAAACAGAACCATGGCAATATTTATCGATAGGCTATTTGACGGCATCAAAAAGAAATCTTTTTTTTTACATAAATAGATTCAGTGACATTAAATTCTTTCTTCTATAAAATAATGAAAAACGAAAGCTCTGAACAGTTTCTTGACAGTTACACTCTGACGCCATGTAAACTGTGTTTGCTATGATGTCACATGACAGTAAGATCGTTACGAAACTGTGCTACTACTGTGTATTTACCGCTTTGTGGCGTTCCCAGGCTGTTTACTACAATTTAGTTTAAAAAATAACTTTGTTAATGAAACATTTTTTTCAAATAGCCTTTTTCGAACAAAAACATTGTGATTTTTTTTAAATAAATGAGTCAAAGTACGTTTTCCCAGTCGTTGAAGTTAAAATGTTAGAGAATTGTGTTTTCTTTATTAGGCATTATCAAACTTTAGCCCGAATACAACGACAGCTAGACCCTTGTGCTCAAAACAGCTGACGATTCACACTGACTATTATAATTTGTGATTGCCATTAGCACAGAATGTAAAAAAGAAGTGTTTCGATTGGAGAGTTACTTAATCAGCCGTTCTGAAAGATTTCTACTTATTGTCGTCACACACAGACCTTCATGGTTTGAAACTATTATGAATATGAAAAGCACGCCTTGCGTAGCTGCTTACTAAATTTATGAAAATCAATTAATTGTATTACGATTTCTATGTTAATACTCGCTTTTTATTTGAGTTCAAAAGTTAAGACACATTGAGATTATTCTTTACAAACTAACGAGGAATTACATTTGAAAATTACAATTTAGACCTGGAAATGTCTTCCATACCCAAGGAAAATTTGGCCATTTCGTATCTGAATATAATATTGTGGTTTGTATGGGGTTTGTGAAGATCACACATCTTTTGTCTTGTCGAATCACGGTCTGTTTCTGAGGCCTTACACTTAAAATCAATAGTCTACGTATCGTAAATTTTATCGTGTCCTTGTCAATGGCATTATAAAACTATTTAAATTTGAGTGGGATGGTCGACGATGAAGATTATGATGTATCGAAAGTGGAGTTTAAGGTTAGGGCCCTGAGCAACCGATTCATATTATTATTATGACGTGATAATACAAAGTAATCAACGAAAACATGGGTGACCAGCTATTAAATAAAATGATAAGGTAACGGATTTACTAACGCAATGCTCCAGTACTTACCTATTTGTATGTTTATATAAATGAAAAACATGTTAAGTCTACATTTAATATGCAATTTATATTAATCAAGCGTAATAACTTGCGCTTCCAAAAGGTATTTATTCTTTAATCTAAGTTCATAAAAAAATTGTCTTTATATATGACCTTTTGTAAAAGAAGAATTCAATTCTAACTTAATGCTTAACACCTTAAAGCTTAGATTAGATAACGCCTTATTTTTGTTTTTTGTGCAATCATTAACATCGTGCATTCCCATGTACAGACAGACTAACATATCTTTCTTATTCTCCTTGATTTATTTGTTATGAAAGTTACATTGTTAAAGAAATCAAAAAACACTGTTAAACTCCTTTAATAATTCGATTTTTCCAAACATTGCGAGTAGCTGGCTTGCGCGTGCGCACCAATTGTTTCAAGGCGTATCATATGTAAGTAATTGTGATATAACTGTCGGATAGTGTATTATTTCGTATTTTCAACAATCGCTTTGATTACGAACTTACCAAACTGGCCAAATAAAGGAACTGGAAAAATAAAGGGCCGAGTTTTTGCGTAGACTAAATGATGCCTTACAAATAGGACGTAAAGTTTTATTTTGAAGCAACAATACAGTTATCTTTGTTAAGGACTAAAACGTCCGTGTCCTTGGTCATTGATTAAGGTAACCTAATTACACATTTCCATTATCTACTATGGATTACGGAACGTTGTTTGGACAATCCTATTCAAGTAATTGTAACTTTGTTTACGTTTATTACATAAGTATTTATTTAAATAGATTTTATGTGGGGCGTGCGTAACCCGGTCCAGTGGAGGTGTTATTCGAAATTTTCAATCTGACTCGCGTCTTAGGACTCTATGCCGTATGAAATAGAGTAGAATTTTAATAATATTAGTAGATTGAAAAGTTCGAAATGACTCACAATGGACCGTGAAGCATGAATATTATATGTTTTGCGAGTGGATACAATTATCAACTGAGATTTAAGAGGTTCCGTAAAATGTGATCTTCTGTGAAGACTGGCAGTGCAGTGATTGGTGAAACGCGTTTATGCACAATGAAGTCACTATTTGTACAAACCGTTTAAATGTATGGGTATTATTTATCTTTACGTATAAAGTTATATAATTGATCATAATTTTTAGAATTATCAATTTATTGTGTAAAATATAATATCACCCCGTTAAAATTGGATTGTAATGGTGACCTTTATTGTGTTTTAGGGTATTTGAATTTATTTATTAAAAAAACTTAAAGATTTTTTTTCTTTTTTTTTACGTTTCCGATCCGTATAGATAGATAGTACTTTTTTACGATGTTGATGTAAAGTGTTTTTTAGAGATTGGATTTTGTTCACATGTGGTGCAATACAGAACATTCCAAACGTGGTTTGGTGCTTATTATTATAGTAAAATAATTTAATATAACACATGTAGTTTCATTTTCGATTTCTATACTTGCCTGTTAGCTCTCTTCAAAATTTCTCTTTAAGATGAGTAGAAACAATTCCTATAGCATTAAAGGTCACTGTCAATTCACCTTTCCTTTGTACATTTCAAGTTTTTAAATTCACTGGTAAATTTTTATAATATTTCCAAACAACTGGAGTACTTAATTATACTTTATGAAACTCCCCTTCTTTGCTTAACTATTTTGAAATTCACTGTACATTCTCACTGAATGTCGAAAAGCTTGAACATATTTGTATTGATTAAATACCTAATCTTGGGATTTGTATAACATATTAACAGGTAGTTTAGGTTAATAAATAACATTATCGTTAATGTTTATCGTGCAACTGGCAGACTTATTTAGAAATTGTAATGTTATGGCAGCTAATGCTTTGTATAAAAGATCCTTTTTAAGTTAATTTTTAGAAAAAAAGCAATAGTTTTTGAAGTGAAACTTCTTTACGCACGCTTGATTTGGGGAGTAAGCTGGCGAACGCGTTACAAAAAGTGTGATCGGGCGAGGCGAACGGGAGTTGAGTGGGGGATATAACCAAGAAAAAGCAGTGCACGCGCACATTTTCTTTCTCTCTTTCTCTTATAGCTAGTAAATGAAATATGTATATGTACATACATGTATATATTGTACACACACATATATATATATATATATATATATACATACAGATCGAGCTAAATAAGAAGAAAGAAGAAGTTTCACTTCAGTCATGTGGTCATAAGCACACTTGTTTTTTTTTATCGCACAAGACTTAAGTCTTGATAAATACAATGGTGAAACTGGAGTGCCTCTACACTACTTAAAACGTCTCGCTTTACAATATATCGGAAAACGTTTATGATCTTATAAATAAATTCCATTCTATCTATTTAGGCTCTTTGTCAAACAAGGCCCTGTTTTGTTGATATTTTTATAAATATAAATTTTTAAATGAGTTTGCGGAGCTGCACGTTCATGTTTAATAATCACTCATGTATAATAAATAAATAAATAAAAAAGTATTGGAAAGTTTTGATATGAAATATTTGTACGAGATGGTAAGGTTCGCTAAGGCTGGTTGATTGTCTATTTTTATAATCGGGGTATCATGTTAGGTGGCTAAAGAGCATAATTAAAAAACACTAGACAAGTATTTTTATCGTAGGATGTCTCTAATTACTACCATGTTAATGAGCTACATTCTTTTAAAGATTTAATGAGCCTATTTGATAATGCAAAATGTTTTGTGGTTAAATTATAATTATAGTAACGGTTTGCAACATACCCTATGGAAGTGCTTCTATATGTATGTGCAGTTATCTATTATTTTTATATGCATACACATAATCATACATAAAGGACTGTGTCTATAGTATGTTATACTTGGCGTGTAACAGTTTAAATTGTGTGGTATATTTCTTCGTCGATATAAAACTATTCTTTAACTTTTGTACTAGTCAAAATATCAGTTTATTACATTTTTCTTTCTGTGATATGACCTTTATATAGAACAAAAAAAATCATTTATGTATTATTAGCCACATAACAGCCTCTCATAGACATTTAAATGTAGGTGTCCGTCAATGATTATTATTAATTTTATACCTGACTATTGCAGGATGCGAATGTAATGAAATATTTTTTTTTTGTTTTGTTGAATTTTTTGTATAATATATAAGAATTGTAGGAAGCAATCAAAACGTCATCATAGGTAGCAGTGTTTATCTAAAGGTTTTCATGAGACAGTCTCCTTAGAACATTAGTTGTGACTATGTAAATCACAGAACACGGAAAGAGTTGCTATTGCGTCGTTGCTTTCGGGTGTGAGTGCTGATTGGTCCGATTGTTTTGCTATAATCTATTGATTCGTCGTTTGATTTGCTATGATCCATTAGAAGTGTAGTGGGGGCGAGCCGGCATCGGTTTCGTACAAACGGTCTATAAGCACCCTTCTAACCTCTTCCTGTGTTCTGTGATGTAAATATACATAATCACAAGCAACAAAATTTATTTTTAATATGTTTACATTGTGCAGTGGTTACGAATTACTAAGGCTTAGTGAATTTATTAATGTAAAGCAGATTCTCAATCGATAGTTTGGTTACGCTTCGCTATAGGATAGATTTGATATTTAATTAGAACGTTTTAGTTGTTAAGTCTGTTACTTTAACGTCGGTTGTTTCCTGTAAATATACAGCCAAGATGAGAATATATGAAAAATCTGATGAAGTTTTTGTTAGTAAAGTTAAAATACAATACTGTAACTCCCTGATAAATTACCTAGAGCATAAGTAATTTTATGCTTTAAGATAAAATACTTTTGAGCTCTGCATAAAAATATCGCAAGAAATATAAATATCTGGAAATTTTCCTAATTTTGCATTAAGTGTAAAATAATATTGTGAAGTGTTTAGCAAAAAACTATCAATTACCTACCTACTTCATATTGGCTGTAAACAAACAAGGAATCGACACTGCTGAACGTAATAAAAAGTTTAAAGGTGAAATTGGAAAATAATAGAAAAGACAGACAGTAACCATGTACTTTCCATGAAATGTATGTCATACGTACATCCATCTAATTGTACAAATGGAAGATACATAAAACTACATGTAGGGCTACCATTTACGAATTTCAAAAGTCCTGACAAAAATCCTGACATCGAAAAGAGCCTGGACTTTTTATTCACAAAATGGTACCATTACTCAGTTACTAATGGTATTGTATTAAAATCAATATGTAGATTTATTATTCATATTCAATGAGATTTAAAAAATCCCGGACTATAATCTAAAAGGCCGGACATGTCTGGACTAATCGGAACAAATGGTAACCCTAACTACATGTTAATAAAGGTTGACATTAATTTATAAATCAGTAACTGCTATCGCACACTCGCCTCTGTAAATAGTGTTCCTTTACAAAGGTAACGTAGTGTCTGCCTAAAACTTAAATTATTATATTAACCTCCTTATTCTACACAAATACGAGCTTTATAGCGTCATTGTACAGAGAATTCAAATAAATTATTATGAACCGAACTGTTCTGATCAATTCCCGTGTTTTATTTAAGTCCTACCCGCAACTTTTCGTATGCGTGGAAGTGGCGTTGCCATGTGTTCGGATAAAGCAGGACATACTTAGGCTTTTGTGATTGCGTGTTCGGGCTTTTTTGGGCTTTTTACATGTCGCAAACGAGCTGAGCGTGGCCGAGCGCAAACGGGTTGACTGTCCGTCGCGTTTTACATATTTTTTGTTTGTCGTAAGTATCTAATATTATTAAGCCACAAAATGGGACACTTGAGACTTGCAACAGCCTCCCCCCCCCCCCCCACTCCCTGTCTGGTGACCCGTGGAAATTCAGTTATTGTTTTTCTGTAGTGGGGTTCCCACTGAACCATAGCGCAACCTGTCCTGCTTTACATTTGGCCTTGTCTGGGTCAGGACAGGAAAGACGCTACGCACGGCCTGGAAGGAACTTGTAAAACAGTAAAGAATTCAATATAATATAATGTTTATTATGGCTGTTAGGTCGATAATTCACACTCCTCATAAATTATAAAAACAAAACGTGATCCCCTGCCTGCGTGAATTCGCGCTAGATCAGCTACCATTTCTAAATGTAACATGCAGTGCCTTCAAAGCTATGCAATGTCGCTATATCCTATGTTATTTAACCACATAAAAATAACAACTGTTGTAATAACTCCTGTAAATTTATTCACTTTAGAGTGAAAACAGGTGGAAATCAACGACTAAAATTATTATTGTTAAAACAATTGGTCGAAACTAAAATCGAACAAAAGACGCATGAAAGCGAGCAAATTATTGTAGTAGGTACTAAAAGTAATACCATTAAAAGCAAATAAAACAATGGCCCTGATTATGGCATTATTCTCTAAACCATAACTCCAATTTTAGTAGTGAGTATACCATATCTATCATTCTGTAATAAAATATTAAATGTCAATTAAAGACCATTGTATTATTATATTTAACTAGCTGTCCCAGCGAACTTCGTATCGACATAAAAAATAGGGGTATGATGTATCATAAAAAAACCAAGAAATTAAATTAATTAAGGGTGGACCACCCTTAACATTTACAGGGATGAAAATTCTCAGACCTACTGAATATGCATATACTATTTCACGAAAATCGGTCGAGCCGTTTCGGAGTACTTTAATTATGCACACCGTGACACGAGAATTTTATATAATAGATAATAATAAATTACTAAGTTTAGAGAATCATGCTAGAATTAGCCCCAATCTAAATTCATGGAATTTATGCAACGCCAACAATTTCGATATTTACAGAAAAAACGAGCAAGCCTTACAGTAGTTGCGTATGATGTGTAACTTTTAATATCTCACCTTATATTAGTAAAAAAGAAATAAAACCTACTACAAAAGGAATAAGCCATTTGAACATTATGTTCTAAAATCGAATCAAATAGCGCGCGCTTTTGCGGCTTCCTGTTATACAGTTCCGTCCCATTTCACGAAATCACTCCCACAAATTGCAGCAAAGCGAAAGGAAAGATTTTTACACATCAAAAACATAGAAAAAGTAACATAAAACAACTGTGTGACAAAAGTAACAACTGTGTAGCAGGTAGAAATGCTGTTCCAGCTATCGTCGCGTCTGGACTTCATCGTCACTTAACATCAGGTGGGGTGGGGCATTTGTCGGGCCTATCTATATTAAAAAAAGATTAACTTGGAGATTCAGTATCCTTTGTCTTTTCTAAAAGGAAATCTTAAAACTTAAAAATACGGTATGTCAATGTCAGATTTGACAATTCGATTCAATTAATGTCATTGTGGCGAATTCCGTGACGGAGGGAAGCTGTGTGTGTGGAATGTATTTACGGGATTTCTTTTATGAATCTAATTAGTGATAAGTTATTAATAAATTACCTGTGCTAAGTGCTTTTGCAGACTGCTTAAATAGTCAATAGTGAGATCAGTGTCACAAAAATATCGGTAGTGTAACGTGTTAATCTATAAATAGGACTTTTTAAATTTGTGTCTAATGAACTTGTTGATGTTATGATCGATCTATTTGATTTGAAAGTGACCACAACATGGGGCAAAGTCCGAGCTCCGTAAGGAGTAAAAGTAGCCGACAAAAGTCCTTTAGGGGTTTTATGAGAAAAAGCAAATTGAACAAATCTAGTTTGAGCCATACATTCAATTTGCCTTCCTCGGAAGAGTATCCAGAACTAATGAATGTTAACACGGCAACGGAGGAACAGCTGATGACGCTACCGGGAGTCTCTCGTCAGTTAGCTCAGGAGATCGTGCGCCACCGGCAGATGATAGGAAGGTTCAAAAGAGTGGATGACCTTGCCCTTGTCTCAGGTTAGTAAATAAATAATTTATAAATAAATTTATTCTTAAATAAAGTAAACAATATTGTTTCTATTATACCAATAGAAAGAACAAAGCCTGTCATAATTTAACCACTGTGCAATTCTCAAAAGGTATTCTTAATTTGCTTGTTCAAATTTAAAAGTTCATACCTTACCTTGGCCATGACATTATTACTTAGATCAACAATTCTATTGATAACGGGTTGCATACAAAATCAAAGCTAAAACTGTCCCCATATATTTAAACTTAACTTAAGCAGCTACATTGGATTCCAAATGAACAAAGATTAATGTTTTAAAATAGTTTAAGTTGAACCTAATAACAACTATCTAGGAATATGGTTGTAAATAACAAAATGTTATTTGGCACATACAACCTTTTATCTTAAAATTAACTCTTGTCCTTATATAAATTATATCTGAAACTTGGAAAAAAACTATTTAGGTGAAAATAAGAAAATGTAAAATCAACCTTATGACCCACAAAATAAAATATTTTTACCAGTCATTGGCCAGTGAGTAACTTTGTTTTGTATTAACCATACTAATTTAAAATAAGATCTCATGCCTCCAGTGAGGCTATATTTACCGAGATGGATTTTATGCGCTGACCTGTTATCTATAGAATTGTTGATCGAAGCATTGTTACAACTTTTTTTTAAAGAAACTATTATTAATATGAATTTGTTAGTATTTCAGACAGGAAGTTATTTGTATATTAGATGAAAATATATAAATGCATGGATGATAATAGTTTATTATGTTAAGTAATAAAATAAAGGTCTTCAAAATAATAGAATTTTAGTAAAAATTTGTGTGTTGTGTTAAATGTTATAATCTATTTGTAGGTATTGGAGCTGAAAAATTGGAATTATTGAGGCCAGAAATATGTACAAACACCAGAAAACAATTATCTAGGGCGAGCTCCTGTACACAATCATTAGATAGCATTAGGATTAACTCTGAGAGCAGACTATGTTCTGTAAATTCTTCTAGTGTTTTCCAATTGCAATGTGTGCCTGGTCTCAACCAAGAAATAGCAGCCAATATAGTGGATTATCGTAATAAAAAAGGTCCCTTCAAATCATTAGATGACTTAATAAAAGTCCGGGGAATGGATATTATAAGACTTAGCACAGTAAAACAACATTTGAGTTTGGAACTAAGAAAATGTGAAAGTGTACAACACCTTAATGGATACGCTAATGGTTGGGGAGACAGACATTTAAACGGAGCATTGTCTAATGGAGTTACAACAAGCACACCTAAGTCTCCCCACAGGAAGAGTTTGTCTATGCCATCAAAATTACTGGTGACCTTGCCAAACGGATTTGCTGCAGCCCCAGTCAACGATATCCTAGATTTACTCTCAGCATATTCTCATAGGCCAATAGTTGAAGATGTATTCAGATATGAGAGGGATGGAATGAGATGTTGTCGTATAGCATCGTGGAATCTTCATCAACTTAGCATAGAAAAAATAACCAATCCTGGAGTTAGAGAAGTTATTTGTAGGACAATTTTAGAAAACAAGTAAGTAATATCTGTTGTTAAATATATTATTACTCTTATGAATCTGTAGACTTGATTTTTCATACACTTTCAAGTGTATAACTTTACAAACAAATACATATGTCCTTTTGTTAAATGGATATACATACATAAATCTGTAGTGATTTGTATTAGACAATAAACTGGTGATTATGTTTGATATATTCATACCTTAACTACTAATTGAAATATTTGAGAATCCCATGGAAAATACTAATTTTGCAAAAAGCCTATTGATTGTGAAAGTAGCAAAGCCAAATATGGTTTACAGACAAGCATTGTAAAATTAAGGAAACATACAAAAAAATTTTTTTTTATATTATTTGATCTTTTTGGATCTGTATTATTTTTTTGTCAGTTAAATGTTCAAAAAATGTTTTATAATAGTATATTTTTTTTAAATTTATTTGGTACCTCATTTTGTACTATCTCAGTCAAAATGTTTATTTAAAATTTTTAACATAATGTTACTACTTTTTACAATACTTTAGATTAACTTTCAACTAGGTACTTACTTCTTGTAAAATGAAGACATTTTATTAATGTAGTTACAGTATAATCTCACTAATCTGGCACTATTAAAAACTGGAGGGTGCCGGATTATTGGAATGTTCGGATTACTGGATTATAGTGAAAAAGTCGTAGGTAACAAATAAAATAAAGCATTTCTTAGATGGAATAAATGTATGTAATGTATTAATTTAACGAGTACATATATATGAAATTACATAGTTTTAAAATAATCCTTAATTGAGGTCTGCTTTTGTGCAACTTGTAGTCCTTGCTTAAAAGCCTTTTCTCGCATTGTGGCAAAGAATTATAATATCTTTATTAAGAATTATAGTAAGACATGCCGTTTTCTTCTGCCCATGTTATGCAGGTATTGAACAAATCAAATGCTTTTATGGGCAATCAATCTTTTCATAAACTTCCTGACTTCTGGGAAAAAGTCATTATGAATTTCGCTGAATACTTCTCTCATGACCCAACTTCTAATTTGATTCTTGTAGCAGACTGGCAGACAAATGTTCTGGAAAGCTCTGGGATTCTTTCCTTTATCAATTACTAACAAATCCAAGCGCACAGGTGTAGAGGGGCGAGGGAGGCATGGGCGGAAGGTGCCGGATTATTGGACGTGCCGATCTATCGAAGTGCCGGATTAGTGAGATTATACTGTATTGTTTTGTTTTATCATAGAAATACTATGTAGATTTAAAGAACAAAATAGGCATGTGAGGCAATAAAAATGCAGAGGTATTTTTTCTATCTTATGATCTCACTCAAATCACAACCACGAAATATTTTTAATAATAACATTATTTGATTACTTAAATCAAAGATTATGACACAGTGATATGTTGTAGGTTATCGATAATAGCCGTTCAGGATGTTCTGGAGGAGGCAGCGCTGAAGATGATCTGTGAGGAGCTCAACTCGCCGGTGCTTCGACGCGTACGCGAGTGGAGGAGTAACAGCTGCCGGTGGGAATACTGCATATCTCACCGGATGAACAAGTGAGTCAATGCTTAACAAAATGATGATAATGTTTTATGTACTGTTCTGGTATATTTTTATTAATACCAATGTTTCGTTTATTTTCTAATTCTGAATTGCCATCAGTCCTTAAGGGAATAACATGAGTAGCTGTGATATGAGTATGATGGTAGCATAATGATCAGTGCATTCGCCCCGATAGCGAGGGGTACGGGTTCGAGTCCCGTCTGCTGCCTGGTCCGCGTGGATTTTTTTCTAGTAAACTTTTCTTTAGATTTAAACATCTAGCAGTTATATGCTTAAAAATAGAAACATCAATATAATCTTTATAAATCAAACTTCTACTATTTCTACACAAAAAATCATATCCCTTAATCTCTCACTACCTTGACTTCTTGGGAAATCAAGAATGAGTTAATATTTTTCAATTAAACTAAAAGCAAATGGATTTAAATTTATTTCATGTTGAAATAAATAAATAAATAAGTATTGATATTTACAATATTGCAGTTATATCCATCATCTCTTTGTCAAAATATCAACAAGTATTACAACATGTCTTATGATTACAGTATTTTTCATAAACGTATTGCAACATGTCTTCTGATTAGTTTTCTTACAATGTCTCTCCAGATTTGAGTACATAGGTACACTATAAAGTATTCCCATATTTACCATTTGATTTCTATTTCCAAAATATCTTTTCCAGTTACTGATTTGTAGTACAAAAACAAAGCTATAATATACATACATATATATATTTCCCATATTTTATTTAATAGTTATTCAGCTATTTGGACGGAATTAATAAAATCAGAGCTCATCAAAATCAGTCCAGCCTTTCTTGAGTAAAAAAATTCAATTAAAAAGCAAAAAGTAATTGTTTAAAATTTTTATTACTAAGTAAAGCAGACACAAACCCGTAGATTCGAAACTTCAGTAGAGCCTGCATAATGAGAAATTAACGAAGAGATTTAGCTCTGCAGTAATGAAAATACGCCAATTCACTGACGACTTGAGATACCACTCAATTAAAAAAAATATAATTTCATTTTAAGATAAAATGGGACAAAATGCAATTGTAATTGTAATTTTTAATATGGGTTATTGTGCCTGAAATAAACATTTATTATTATTATTAAAACTTAAAAGTATATTTTAGTTTTTTTCATAGTGAAATATCGTACGGTATTTTACTGTGCGGTGTAAATTATGTGTATGAGATTCTACTATTACTAAGCTTCTCATTTTCCAACTTAAATAAATAGCTTTCTTAAATAGTATGAAAAATAAATTATACCTATATTTTTTTTGTTTACTAGAGTGCCTCCCCAATTGGGAGGCTTGCGTTGACATCAAATTCTATTAATCAAAATGTCGAATTCACAAATTGCTCGCTAGCGTCATTCGCCATCGCTACGGGCGGACAAACACATTGCTATTTTATTTAACTATTCTATCTATCCAATTCACATTTAGATCTTCATACTCATGACATTTTACCGATTATTGCCGATTGCATAAATATAGCATGGGGTAGTGAAATGATCGATTATGATTGATGATGTTTGAACGACTAGAAAAAGAAACACAAATACATACATTTTTTTATTTATAATTTGCTTCGTCCACTAACATCACGCTTTACGAAAGAAGTGTAGCTTACTTACACATGTAGTTATTTTTGGTGTTATGTAAAATTTTCAATAGCATCAAGTTTTCCGCCTTTTCAAGATATGATTTTGTTTGAGTTAGCAGCAGTGGGGTATCCAAGAGAGATCTATAAATATTACATAATATGCGCTTAGGGCGCGTTTATATGACACAGAATGTCACAGCGTGGCGGCCGCGCGGTGACAGTACGGCGGCCGCGCGGTCACCGCGCTGTGGCCGCATAATAACTGTTCAGTCATAGCAGATTTATGTTTTATTAACTAGGACTTAACGTTGAAATTCTTTGTGAGTAACTAACTGCGCAGCGACCGCGAGGCGGCCGCGCGGCCGCCGTGTGATCGAGGAGTGGACGCCACGCGGCCGCCGCGTGGTCGCCGCGCGAATTTTTTCGCGTCGTCTAATCTGCAGCCTTACGGGGCCAAGCCATCCAAGTTTCCATAATACCATTTATATATAAAATACATAGTGTATTTGTTGTTTGATGTTGATGATGTTTTAACTAACGTAAACGTAAAGTAACGTCCTCTATTTAATCTTCTCAGTAAGTGGTTGTCCAATGGGACATACCGTGCCTTAAGCCTCGATGACACCGGGCTAGTTTACAAGCTACAAGCCAGCGAGTTCGCTAGTAGCCTTTAAACTCACCCCGTGTCATCGAGTAGAAAAATGGTAAAAAAGCTATACCCTTAGTACGAGTTTTACAATTACGAAAACTATGATAGTTTTCGTGAGCTCGCACTCGTACTAAGGCTACTGATTTCATTGTTTTCGTTTCAATATAAATAAACAGTGTTTAAATTCTATCATTAAATCATTTGCGTCTTCTTACATTTTAAGTATATTTGGTTACTGTTCACCAAAATGGACAATAAACATAATTCACAATTACGAAAATTATTATAGATATGATAGTTTTCGTGAGCTCATATCGTACTAAAGGTACAGATGACACGGGGCGAGTTTACAAGCTGCTAGCGAACTCGCTGGCTTGTAGCTTGCAAACTCACCCCGTGTCATCGAGGCTTTAAGCAAAAACAAATTAGTATTTATTCTTTTTTGAATAAGCTAATTTACCCTCATAACAGCAAGGTAAAATCACTACTATTCGGGCAAAAGCCGTCCCTATAGATGGAATAGGGATAACGGGCATAGATCCACCGCAGTGTGAGTGAAAAATGCTACATTTCAAAGATCGCCGTCATCATCATCATCAGCCTATTAATGTCCCCACTGCTGGGGCACAGGCCTTCCCTATGGATGGAATAGGGAGATTAGGCCATGACCCACCACGCGAGCCCAGTATGGATTGGTGGGTGCTCACGACTGCAGATGCAGCCGGGACCAACTGCTTAACGTGCCTTCCGAATCACGGAGGAGCTCGAGATAGTAATTTTTGGTCACCCATCCAATGACCGACCACTGCGAAAGTTGCTTAATTTCAACGATCGCAGCCGAACGCGCTAACCACTTGCGCCATCGAACTTCTCACCAATTAGTATAAAATTTTTAAATGTCATATAAAGAAAGTAAAGTTTACCTTTTTCGATTACACGGAAGTGCTTTGGTGCAGAGTGCACTGAAGGCGGAAATAGCGATAACGTGGTGCCTACAGAATAATAAATAATACAAACCGCTGCTCGGATATTTAAAGTATCTACGTGCTTTATAAATCAATTTAAATAATTATAGGCAGCGGTAGCTTTACGATAAAATTTTATTGAAGTTTTACATGATAATATTGTGAACATAAAATTACACAATACTTAGTATTCGAGCCGCATATTTTTCGCGGGAGAACATCAAAAACTGTAATCACACTAATATTAAAAAGGCGAAAGTTTGTGAGTGTGTGAGTATGTGAGTGTGTATGTTTGTTACTTCTTCACGTCTAAAGGGCTGGAGCGATTTTAATATTTGGTATGGAGTTAGCTGATACCCTAGATTCACACATAGGCTACTTTTATCCCGAAAAAATGTTAGGTTCCAGAGGTATTTTCGAGAAACTAAGTTAACGCAGTCGAAGTCGCGGGCGACCTCTAGTGAATAATAAATAGGTATTCAAAGGGAATTTAGTATAAACAACGTTCCCATAGGCATAGTTAAAACGTCGCTACTTGTGCATTTCTTGAGTATAGGTTATAAGTTTAATACTTAACAGTGTCATTTTTCTGATTACTATGTACACCTCCTACAAGTAAAAGTCGAATAAATATTATGATAATTTTTCTTTTTAAGCATGTAACTGCTTGATGTTTAAATCTAAAGAAAATATAACTAGAAAAAAATCCACGCGGACCAGGCATTATAGGTTACCTACAATGCGAAGAGATGGAGCTGCCTTGCAGCTTAAGAATGACTAGAAGAATTTCGACGCGGCCGTCAGGTTTGGTCAGTGCATCCGCCCGGATAGCAAAGGGTGCGAGTTCGAGTCCCGTCTGCTGCCTGGTCCGCGTGGAATTTTTTCTAGTTATATTTTCTGTAGATTTAAATATTATGATTATAAGTTTAGTTTTTAAAATTGTTCTGTCCTTTTATAGCTTTTTCGTATTTAAAGGATACAGCTAACACTTTTATTTTATTATTTAAACACGTATAATATATATATGTCAGATATATATATAGCATTTTATTTATATCGTAGGTAGCTATTTGTGACTGGAATGGATAACGAACTTTGCACACTGGACTTTTAACGAGATAGTAAATCAAAATTATATATGTACTCATAATAACTAATACCTCTATTCACATTAAAAGGAAAACAATAGGTATCGTTCCATTCCATTTGTATCACGCTCCGTCATTTTTCGTGAGTCGTGACCCAAATAAGGGTTTGGCTACATTTCCCAATGTCATTCCCGGTAACAAGGGTGGGGTGGCGCTCTAAGTTTTCGTGTAAATATAATAGTGTTGACACAAATACGAAGCTAGCACTAACTACATACGGCGGGACTTTTTAAATATGCATGTGTTGTTTGTTACGAGAATGGACTCGTTTCATTCGTTTTACTCGACAAGACAGTACAAATAGATAGATATACATATTTATTTTAATACTAGTAGTGCCCCGCGGTGTTACCCGCGGTTTATTAGGGATAGTTTTCCGTAGTAAAACGTAGCCTATGTGTTAATCCAGGGTGTCAGATAACTGTCCTGCAAAGAGGGGGGCGGCGGAGGGAGCTACACGGGCATGCCCAAGTAGTCCTCCGCAGCGGACGGGGGGCGGTACGGTGGGCACTAGGCCGCGTATTTTGCCCCCACGCGCGGGCCATCCTGCGCACGTCTGCGGGGTCCCCGCAATACCTCGGGAGACCCCTGCCGTGGAGCCCCGGCTAGGCCGGGAGGCTGCTGGGTGCGGAGACGCGGAAGAATCCCTAAACGGGGATCCCGCGGTTTCGCACTAAGCAGCTTAGAGGGTATTCGCAGGACGTTTTTAGCGGATATTATACCGTAAAGCGCCCGTAAGAGTTGCGGGGTCCTCGGTGGGCAGCCACTGTGGGGTTCGTAAGACTTGCGGGAGCCAGGTGTGAGGTCCGTTCGGCGGTGTGCCTCTTAAAGGCGCCGTCGTCTGTAAATAGATTTTTTACCTGCGTATTAAAAAAAAAAAGGGTGTCAGATAACTAAATACCAAAGGAGGTTGCTCAAATTGGCCCAAATATACAAAAAATATTAACACATACGGTAATTCTTGGCGTAATTTATACTTTATTATACAGTCATTAGATTTTAACGGACACCTTTGTATAATATATTCATTTTAAAAAGGACTTTTAATTTTACCGGTTTGGAATGACATTTCTGGTAATGACATTTCCCAATGTCATTCCCGGTAACAAGGGCAGGGTGGCGTTCTAAGTTTTCGTGTAAATATATAGTGTTGACACAAATACAAAGCTAGCACTAACAACATGTGGCGGGACTTTTTAAATATGCATGTGTTGTTTGTTACGAGAATGGACTCGTTTCATTCGTTCGACATCGTTAACATTCCGAATTTTATTATGTACCTATAAGTACATCATTCTGGGACGAAGGCCAAAGTAAAGTGTACCACACTTTAGAAGACGGAAAGAGAAGTTTGATATATTTATGCAAAAAGAAGAGTGATTGATTGTTGAAGCGACTGTTGATCGCGAAATACTTAATAAGTAGCAGCTATCTCAAATACATTAAGAAGGTTGCCAGGTTACCAAACTTAATAGCCAGACAGAGCAGACAGTTTGGCCGGATATTTGGGTAAAAGGACGGACACCCTACATTATTAAATTTCAAGTTTTTGTCGTACCAAATATTACTGAGCCACAAAGGCTCAATACTGTGCCACAAAGGCTGAATACTGAGACACAAAGGCTCAATACTGAGCCACAAAGGCTCAGTAATATTAGGTACAATAAAAAATTGTATGTAAAAGCGACCGACAGTCTATGTTCGATGTCCCACTTTATCCGGACGCCTGGCAACGCTACCCGGGGCGGCAGCTTCGAGGGATGGCTGCAATAGCTGCAAACGGCGGCAGAAGCTATATAAAGGCATTTGTTATTGACCTAAATTTTGATTTGATTTACTACTTCCAAGAAGGGGAGGGGGGGGGGGTCTCGTGAGAGGCTAGGGGCGCCAGATTTGTTAATCGCCCCTGGGCACGATCAGCCTATCACTTATATTAATATTCAAGCCTAAGGGTCAATGAGGCAATCTACTACCGGTAATTTATCGAATATACATTGTTTGCTAAATAATTGATTATCATTCTTCTTTTAGTTTAGATTTGTCATTTAAATGAATAATGAATGGAAATATAATTAAGTATCACGTGTTGATATTTGATAAGAAAAAAAATGGAGACATGTCTAAACAATTTACGTACAGACTACCTAACTAAACGGTCATTAATCGAATATACATTTTTTGCTTAATAATTCACTAACATTCATCTTTTTGGATTTGAGGAGCTCGATGGCGCAAGTGGTCAGCGCGTTCGGCTGCGATCGTTGAACTTAAGCAACTTTCGCAGTGGTCGGTCATTGGATGGGTGACCAAAAATTACTATCTCGAGCTACTCCGTGCTTCGGAAGGCACGTTAAGCCGTTGGTCCCGGCTGCATCTGCAGTCGTTAGCACCCACCAATCCGCACTGGGCCCGCGTGGTGGGTCATGGCCCAATCTCCCTATTCCATCCATAGGGAAGACCTGTGCCCCAGCAGTGGGGACATTAATAGGCTGATGATGATGATGATGATGAACATTCATCTTTTATTTAAGATTTTTCATTTTAATGATAATTGGAAATATAATTCAGTATCACGTGTTGATATTTGATAAGAAAAAATATAGAGACATGTCTAAACGATTTACGTACCTATAGATGGTCGTTGTGACAACAGAAGTCATTCATCAATTCGGACAGTGCAAAAAACCCTACTCCGCTATTGTTTGTGATTACAGAAGTATTTATTATATTGAAAATCACATATCAACATGAATACATTGTAATGACTTCAAAGCTGATATAAGAATGTCGATTAAACACAGCTGTTTGATTGTATTGAATGCGACATCCATTAATACTTAATTAGTCATAATACTCATAATATTAATTTCAAATTGTTGAAGCCATCTAATGTTGATAAAGTTACACATTCGATTGATTGTTAGTAGCTAATTTATGTGGTTAATTAACTGATATATTATTTGATGAACACTTAATTAAATCAATAATGTATAACCGTAGTCCTAATAGGACCTGTGCTAGGATGGTCACACTAATATTATAAAGGCGAAAGTTTGTGAGTGTGTATGTTTGTTACTTCTTCACGCCTAAACGGCTGGGGCGATTTTAATCAAATGTGGTATTTAGTTAGCTGACACCCTGGATTAACACATAGGCTACGTTTTACTGGGGGAAAATATCCCCAATAAACCCCGGGTACACCGCGGGGCACAACTAGTATTAAAATAAATATGTATATCTAACTGTTTGTACTGTCTTGGAGTAAAACGACGTATCGTTCAGGCGCAATTCATGAAAGTTAATTTAATTGAAATTTTATTATAATTTTACAAATTAATTATTTTAAATGATGAAAAAGTTCGTTTCAAAATGTGATTAGTTATAGCGGCAATGAAAAATCTTTAAAAACGATTTTTTTTTCACGGTACCTACGTGAATTTTTGGGTGACAAAAGTTGTTAGACTTTGGAAAATGTTACATGCATGAAATTCAATCTTAAATTTATCATAATATTAGATTGGCATTGAATGAACTATGTAAAATTTATTAATTTGACAATGAAATAATAAATGATTTTAATCAAATTATATAGTGTTTGCTGATAAGGCGAAATGTGGCCAACAACTTTGTTATCTGTAGTAGCAATATATCTGATACGATTTAATTTAATTTGAGACTTTACTTAACCTTGATCAAAGTAAAAGAAGACGAAAACTTTGAAGGTTAATCTCCTTAAAACACATTCTAGAAAGCTGATCTGACGCCGGCCGTTGTGTGTGTTCGATATTAAGAAGCAATTGTTGATGTTACTGACGCTAGGCCAAATCCATAATAGCGCTTATTAAGGTTACAGTTAACATCGTAAGAACCAGTTTACAAGTGCATATCATTTCATCGAAATATTTCAGCCAATAACTACTCTCAGAACGGCATGTTCCTGCTTCTCTTAAATGTCTGCAAGACTGTAAAAATTGTACTAATTTGATTGCAATAAATATAATGGCCAGCAATAACACGCAATCGTATTTAAGGGTCAAGGTTTACGTATTAATTAGATGAATTACGGTGAAGCTAGAACATTACAGAAACCCTGTGATTGAGCTATTCCGTCAATTTTCGCTTGCCTTAATACAAATGAAATGAATGAAATGAATGAAACGAATGAATCGAATGAAATGGCATGGAATGGAATGAAATGAAAAACCTTTATTGACCATCTTATATACAATATTAAAACCTACTAAAAGAAACAGAAAAAAAATATGAAAAAGAAACTTAACCTAAGAACAAAAATTAATCACTAAAACTAAGACGGCCAATCAGGACTCTGCCTCAGCTTATGCTGATACATTGAGAAAATATTCTCTCACTGTATCAGCTCTGGTATTCTGGGCCTGTGCGAGGACGTGTTAGGCGCAATAAAGTAAACAAAATACAATATAACAATATACAAATAAATAATAAATAATAATAAATATTTCCAACACTAACACCAATTAGCCTAGCCCCAAAGTAAGCACTGTATGGCTTGTGTTATGGGATGCTAGGGTAACGGATAGAATACATATACTGTACATATATAAGTATATTTATATAGAAATACATTTTAAACATCCATGACTGGAGTACAAATGCTCGTATTCATCACACAAACATCTGCCCCCACCGGGATTCGAACCTCTCGAGTCGGCGACACCATGAAACCCGGCGTACAAACCACTCGGCCACGGAGGTCGTCAAATAAAAAAAAAATAACAATACGAAAAAAGTGCCATGTATATTGATTGATCTTAATTGCCATTTACTGCTTGGGTTGGCATGGCACCGACTCCAAATGTTAATTTGACTTCAAATGTAGATATAAGTAAAGAATATGCATTATAACTTAGTCACACGACTTAGAGCATTTATAAATGCTCTAAGTCGTGCGACTTTTTTATTAATAAAATAAAATAATTAATACTTCACTCATTATGTTTATATTGGTAAGCATTTAACTACTATATGTTTCAATCTAAAGTAAAATTTTGCTTGAATGAATTCCACTCGGCCCAGGTTACAGACGGGATTTAAACCTGCATCCGCAACCCGTCCGCCCGGATAGCGGAAGATGCGGGCCCATCTGAAAGCTTTCTAGTAAAATTTCCTTTAGATATAATCACTTTCGCTAAGATGTTCATCCTTTGATACTCCACCCCAAAACTACTCTATTGAACTATTAACAACTTACCGCTATAGCGTACTACCCTATACAGAGACATTAATAGGCTCTTGATAATGGTTGGAGCTCTATGGCGCGGGTAGTAAACGCGTTCGGCTGCGATCGTTGAATTTAAGCAACTTTCGCAGTGGTCGGTTATTGGATGGGTGACCAAAAATCTTCTAACTCGAGTTCCTCCGTGCTTCGGAAGGTACGTTAAGCGGTTGGTCCCGGGTGCATCTGCAGTCGTTAGCACCCGCCAATCCGCACTGGGCCCGCGTGGTGGGTGGGTCATGGCCCAATCTCCCTATTCCATCCATAGGAAAGGCCTGTGCCCCAGCAGTGCAGACATTAATAGCCTGATGATGATGAATGGTACCTTTTGCCGCAGCCAATACCTGGGGTTCATCTTCGACGCCGGCAACAAAAGCATCACCGTAGAAGACGTGGATTTGGAACAGTTGCCGCTCGTCACTGAAGCCAACGGGGTCCGAAACCTTGTGAGACAGTTGGAGGCTCTGCGGCATGAAAGGAGGGCGGTGGCTGACGCCAAGGGTAAGTCGCTATTTTAATTGTTAACACTTAAAGATTGCGAAGCGAATAGACCTATCTTATATTATTGGGCTCTTGATAGGCTTTTAGATGTGGACTTGAAACAATTATATATCTGCCTAGATTTAAATCACAGTTAGGCGCCTCCTCACCTTTCGGGGTGAGTTCGTTTCGTATTCGTTTCTGTACCGAATCTGTGGAGATAATTTACCGAGTGCATGTTATTAAATGGGAGCTTCCTCACTGAGTAGTTTCGGTACAGATTCTTTACCGAGCTAGAATTCTATTTAATTCAATATCAAAATACGAGATAAACCTGCATTATTTTTTAGGAAAATTCACGGAGGTTAGATGTTTTTTTGATAATTAATGAGATGGAAAATCAAAATTCTAATACATTATGTTACAACAAAAACATATTTCTGATATCGTAGTAATTAATTTGATCTAATTTATTGAATACTATTGAGAGATTGAGACGTTTGAAGTTGTGCATATTATCGTTTTTTCCGTAGCTGCAGTAGAACGATCAGTACAAAAAAAAAGAAAATAGTATTTGCAAATCTTCTATATTAACTTACAATAGGAAGAATAAATCTACTGTTTACTTCTATTGGACAAAATCTTTTCTAAGGCGCTCAAAAATTACGATTTTTTGAAAAAAATGTAAAAGGGCTCTTAATGTTTACTTCTGCGCAATAACGGTAAGCACTAGAGTTTCGTGCCGCGACTTATACAGATTCGGTACAGAACGAAAATGAACGCCCGCGCCGACCCGGTGAGGAAGGCGACTTAGGCAGGGAATCACAGGGAACGCTCAGTCCTCTCTCTGTCTATGTATATATGTACAGATTGAAGTTTTAAAAACTGGCGCAGTCTAGAATTCCGGTTTTTCTATTTAATTATGATCAAAGAGCGAATACGACTATTATTGAGCGAACGAAAATTCAATTCGTCGCATATTCTATAAGAAACATGATTATTCTTTGATGCTTATATAAAAACGATCAAAGAGTTCGCAATTACCTATAAAATACAACAAAGCTAAATTCGTGTTGTGGATTTGGGTTAGTTTGGTATTATATAATACCACAGCTCGTTGCAATTCTCGGAAAAGTCGTAAAATATGTATTAAAAATACTGGTTGTATAATTTTTCATGTTATTAAAAAAAGGCATTTAATAGTCTCGTGATAAAAAAGTGAGTAGTCGTGGGAGGCCTGGCAGATGTGCTACATCAAAAAATCATATTTTTTTTCTTTTCAATTCATTGTTGCTCAATATTTTATTCCTATTTATAAATGTAACGATAAAATTATGCAAAACCCAACCAAGTTCGTACAGTTGTGATATCATGCTGTGCATGCATAAAGAATAGTTTGTTATCTTTCCGTTGCGTTACCTCAAACGGACGCAAATACTCCGGTGTTTTACAATAATCTCTTATCTGTGCAACACAATTAAGAAGAACAACAACCGGTTTAAACGTAGGAAATGCTGTAAAAATTATATAATAGCATACATGCAAAGTATCCGCGGGTCAAACACTTGCGACACTTGACTTTTCGACAGACAGACCCGGAACAAATTAAACTAACAGGCAAAAAGGTTACCTAATGTAAAACGATTAACGGCTATACAAAAACACTGCACTTTATCCCCTTTGTATTATAAATATTTAAATCTATTTGCAGCCATGTAAAATGTTTTATTTCGCTACTAGTGACCCGCCCTCGCTTCGCTTCGGTGTAGAGCTGTAGTGTAGACTATAGTTTTTGTTCTCAAGCTTGTATTATACACACTTCTAAATCCTAATTACAATAAGCACGCGCCGCCAAGCCCCCCGCCCGGTAGCGTCGGAACCGATATGTCCCTACATTTTAAATCGGTAATATCTTCGAAAATATTCATTTAAATTAAATGCGTTAAAGGGCCAAATTGGTCTATATTAAATGCACAATGTATTTAAGGTACTAATTGGATAAGGATGTATGTTATATTGCTGAAAATCGCTTCGTAAATAATCTATTATTTCTTGTAAAAAGTATAGGATACAAAATTGTTATTGTGGGTTATCCCTAAGAGATAGATATATTATACCACCGCGGACTTTTTTGTAGACCTTTTTAAGGTGTACAATACTGTAGGACATTAAATTGTACTATCTCGTATGGTTCAGCCAGCGTTTGCAATGTAAGCGCCAAAAATGTGTTTATTTACGACCTTACATTAAAAACCTCTAAAATTATCAGTGTTTCTCTACTATATTATGCATGTATTATACATATGAACCTTCCTCTTGAATCACTCTATCTATAAAAAAAACCGGTTCAAAATCCGTTGCGTAGTTTTAAAGACCTAAGCATACATAGGGACAGGGACAGACAGCGGGAAGCGACTTTGCTTTATACTATGTAGTGAAGAGATAGGGATTCAATTTCAACTATGTGTGCATCACGTGTTCGTGGCCTTGCGATTTTCTAGTCTTCAATGTAATTCGATGCCGATTATGTAATTAAGTGCTGTTATGTAATTATGTTATAAAGGAAGGAAGAGCATCATATATTCCTCTTTTTTATACCTCAATCAGCTCTGATTATTATTACTGTGAAAAATTAAAACATATCACACGGACAACATTCCCACAACACGTATATTAAGTTGTTACTGTGTAAACCTAAACAAACGTTGCTTGCTTGTTACCACAAAAAAAATAGTGATGCTTTCAACAAGAGCATACATAATTTGTTTAAGCATGATTCAAAACAGTGTAACTTTTTTTTTACAACCATGTAAGGTTTTTTATGCTACCTAGCCTAGACCAATTCGAGTGTAAACAACATTTTGTCAGTTCTGCGAAACTGTCTGCCTAATCTAGTTTTGTTTTCCATTTGTCATGATTTATTCGAAGCGTGGGTAGACGGGCGGAAGTGTGTTTATATAATTCGCTTTATTTTAAAGAACGAATTGCCATCGTGAAAATTACGTTCAAAATATGTTTTTTCGCGTATCATTACCACTCTTCATGTTACTACTGCTAGGGCATAGGTCTTCGTCCTGCTAATTTCACGAAATACACATTGCGAAAATTGCTTTGCTTCTTCATCATCATCATCAGCCTATGAATGTCCCCACTGCTAGGGCACAGGCCTTCCCGAACAGGATGGAATAGCGAGATTCGGCCATGTCCCACCACGCGGTCCCAGTGTGGATCGGTAGGTGCTAACGACTGCAGATGCAGCCGGGACCAACGGCTTAACGTGCTTTCCGAAGCACGGAGGAACTCGAGATAGAAAATTTTCGGTCACCCATCCAACGACCGACCACTGCGAAAGTTGCTTAACTTCAACGATCGCAGCCGAACGCGCTAACCACCTGCGCCATCGAGCTCCTCCTTTTCAGCTTATACTTACTTTCAGTGTTTGAATTTCGAATCTTGAAGTGTTTGATCTTCAGACGTATCTCTAAAGTCATTTTTCAACTTGACGACTCTGTATATAACAATACAGGGAGAAAAAAACAGCCCTTGTTGAGTTTCTTGCCGGTTCTTCTCAGTACAAGGTCTCCCGCCGTAGTTTTGCGAACCGATGGCGTAGCTTCTTGACCTTCACAAGTGCTTGTAACAGCCTAGACTGAATAAATGACTTTTCATTTCATTTCATTTCGAATAACCCGATTGCTTTAGTGACAAGGAAATCCCTCAGCTCTAGAATTGCTACCTGTCGATTGATTAAAGGAGGCCAATGTAAACGAACGATTTTGAAGAAATCGCAATGGGGCGACTGCACTAACCGATCGCATGATGATATCGCGTGGACGATCGTCGAGCTAACGTTGAATACCTCGACTTGCAGTTAGCAGAATATTAACAGAGGTTTCTAACTTCAAGTTTCAATTATCGAATCTGTCCACTATCATAGAATTAGGGAGTTTGTGGTAAATCTTTAAGCTAAATATTTCACGTTGCCATCCTTGATTTATTCATGAATCCCCCCTTCTTGGTAAATGTAGAGTAACATTAAATTTATCATTTGACAACCTCCGTGGCCGAGTGGTTTGTACGGCGGATTTCATGGTGTCGCTAACTCGAGAAGTCCCGGGTTCAAATCTCGGTGGGGGGCAGATGTTTGTGTGATGAATACGAGCATTTGTACTCCAGTCATGGATGTTGAATATGTATATCTATAAAAATATTTTTATATATGTACAGTATAATTATGTATTCTATCCGTCACCCTAGTATCCCATAACACAAGCCTTATAGTGCTTACTTTGGGTCTAGGCTAATTGGTGTGAGTGTTGCAAATATGTATTTATTTATTGTTTTGATATCATTCAATATTTTCAAGATCTTTATTTGGTGCTGTGATACGCTGACCCCGGATTCTGACCACTCTGAAACAAGCTCAAGCCGCGCTATAAGCACTTGGTTACAAAGATAAAGGCTCGCAGGATCAATCCCACGCAAGACAAACACCTCTTTAAAGCCGGGTACTCATTAGCGAGCTGTAACCGTAACATGCATGATACAGTACGAGGTTCGAGTATGTACGCTTGTTACAATTAAGGCTCACGACGTCGCCGGAACACTCACCGATCGTACTCATTTTTAGAACTGTAACTGTAACCAAACACATAATAATAATAAATAAATATTTCCAACACTCACACCAATTAGCCTAGCCCCAAAGTAAGCACTGTAAGGGTTGTGTTATGGGATACTAGGGTAACGGATAGAATACATATACTGTACATATATAAGTATATTTATATAGAAATACATATTAAACATCCATGATTGGAGTACAAATGCTCGTATTCATCACACACTCTCGAGTCGGCGACACCATAAAACCCGGCGTACATACCACTCGGCCACGGAGGTCGTCGAAAAATACAAAAAAGAGACAGTAACGAGATTCTAGAGTGTATGAGAAGGCCACTGACAAGCCGGTTCTGCGCAGTGTTGGTTTGTGTTCGCGGCAAAAAGCGACAATAGGGGTG